GTCGTGCTCCTTCTCTTACTTTATATTTTTAGGACCTACTCTTTTCCGTTAGTTGACATATTGAGCTTGCATTCAAGCGCAAACTTTCGTAACCCTCCCTCACAGGTTAGTGTCAGGAAGGTCTCGATTCATTATGTGTGTTTTGCCTTAACGTTTATACCGCCTGACAACACTGTGTCATAGAAAATAAACTTGCTGTTGACAGTCCAGTGTCAAATCTTCATTGTGTTCACTTATGCCCACTGAAATCCAGTATGCCGCCTAGACGTATTAGATCAAAGACAATATTTACATAACGACAAATGTTCAGGTAACGTAATGCACAATATGTAGAAAAGGACACCAAAAAAGGAAGAAAGTTGATTCACAAGATCAGTCGTTCTTCTTTGAGGCACTCCCGTGAATCGAAATGCCCTGTTTCTTGTACCTGTTTCCAACCTTCCCTTGCGTTTTCTTCCTTGCGGTCCAGTCGTTTTCAGCTTTGCTACCCTCCTTGATAATCTTCTGTGTCTCACACACGGATTCATGTAGCTCCGCAATCCTACGTCGTAACTCCTTGCGGAAGGCGACGTCGATTTGATTTCGGTCCATAGCCTCCAAATCCAACTCGTTCCTTTGAAGAGTCTGAGTAAGATTAAGGCGAGCAATAAGACCTCTTATCAAAACCTGTTCCTCAAAAGAAAACTTAGTCTAATCAAATGGTACAGTATCATAGAAACGAAGGCCACGTGAAGTTGTAATTGGCAACACTAGTAGGAGGAATGGACCATCTAACATTTGCCGCCTTTTAAAACTATACAAAAATGTCACACACAATCTGACTCATTAATCCACTACGCCAAACACCTATTGAGGAAACTAGAATCCATTTTTCAGCAATTGAAATAACGCAATGTTGTGATATTATCCACTTTTAAATCGCAGATAGAGCAGAGGCAAGAAAGTCTCAAGTCCCACTCCCATGAAATCAATCTAGTCACCCAGCTTCTTTGACTCATCAGATCGTTTCCAACACTTCAAAATCACTATTTGGGAGATGAACCCGAATTCACAAAATTTCACCATCAGTACTCTTACCTTACTACTATCTCAAGCCTCCCAAGTGGTTTGATTTCAAGATCAAAATAGTTCATCGGAAAACTTCTAACCACTAAAAGGCCTTGCAAAGAAATTTGGAGTTAAAAGCACCCTACCTCATCATACAAGGGAAAATTTGGTGCAAAGTACAACTGAACACTTAGAGATGTCGATTAACAAAATTAGTTCTTGATGAAATCAGGCATTTAGGTGCAATGAAACACTAATATAAAGGTGATTAACACGCATTCTCATCAATCCAGCATCAGCACCCTCCTCTTTTCGGTTCCAACATTCTAAAGGTCCCATTTTAAGTAATATGTTCGGAGGGAAGAACCTCAAATTGGTGGGAATAAACGGTGAGTTAATTGGCTAATCTTGTTAACTCCAAGCCATATGACCCGCCTTTCTCAGTAAGGCCGGTCTTGGTTGCTTAGTCAGAAGCTCCTCAATCGTCTTCATATTCCCCTGCAAACAATAAGAGGCAACCAAGTTCAACCGATTGGACAAGTCTCATGCAGCTGTACTATTTAATAACAGCTAAGAATTGTTTTTGCATTACTAGTTCTTTGAATTGCGGAAGGAGTAGAAGGAGTTTGTCTTCAAGATAATCGAGTAGGTCTTAGTTCCCGCTTCTCCACCTAGAGCTAACTCAATCCAATTTCCCAGCTCTTTTACCTTACCTATTATTTTCACATGTTTCAATTTTGTCAGACTACTAGCCACGTCAAACTGTCATCTGAGATAAGTGAACCTACTTCCACTATAGTTCATGATCAGCCACGTAAAATTATTTTCTGCTGAGACATTTCAGAGAGCCCATTCGCAAAACTAAAATTGTCTGCCAGAAAGAAAAAGCAGAAAATCCTCGAAGATCCACTCAAAAACGAGTCTTGCAGATAAAATATATGATAAGGAAATACGAAAACAGCTAAGCTGAGAGATAATAGGCATGAGCTCGTAATTTTGACGCAGAATGAAATGGGGAAATCGAGCACAACAGATGAAAATAAGGTGATTGCACTCAGCAGAAGCAAAAGGTAACAGACTGACTTGAATGTGCAGAGTATAGCTGGTTCACTTTCTCTTTACGCTACAGAAAGTAGAGATAGAGATCTTGAAAGGTTAAGTTACCACTTAAGAAAAGTAGTGTTTCCAACCGAAGGAATACGAAAGAGGTTCTATTCAAATCAAGTCTCATAATTCACAGATATAAAAGTCCATGCTACCGTGGAGATACTACACACGGTAGTAAGTAGCAGGTGCGACGTATTATTATTAGTTTCGCACATCTCGCGAACTCATCCAAACATTGTTATTAGAGACGCCAGGCAATGGTGGTGGTGCTATGTGGCTTTTCGTAAATGAAAACGGCACCCGAGGATCCGAGTATCTGCAAAGGCTCCACACAGAGTAAGATAATAGGACCCTCAGCCGCTCAGAATTAAGTCACTTGAATAAGGTCAATGTCTCAAAGACGTCACGGAAGGCTCCATCAGTGATGGCTTCGTTCCCAGTCCAAAGTACAGTAGTCATTCCCATGAGTATTTAATTCACCGCGTGGAACGGCTGATCCTCGCCACCACATTGACGCAAAATCTGTTGTGAGGTTCCACGAGAAGCAAGTGAGATTCTCTCTTAGGGAATAGTGAACACAATCATTCACAAACATGAACATTTACGACTTCGAAAAGGTAGTGAAAGATAGGAAATAAGAAGGCCTTTCACATCGATGAAGTGCATCAGATTATCCTAGGAGGGTTCAGTTGTTTTGCCGATGGTGGTAGAAAGCTAGGGTGCATAAATGTAAGGGAGAATTACGCAAAAAAATACAGCTTGCACTCCTTAAATCTGCTTTTAAAAATCAAAAGTCCTATTTGATTTGAATGCCCTAGTACTATTCCGTAGCGACAGTGACCTCAGGCGTATAAATCGAGAGAGGAAGGGTATGCAGACTAACCTGAAGACGGATGACGAAGCGGCAGGTAAGAACGAGACCAAGAACTATGGCATGGGAGGCCTCCTTGAGGCCCTCACCAAGAGCCCAGTTGGCGAAGAGGATGAAAAAGAGGAGGACCATGAGCGCCACGTTTGCCATATCGGCGATGTCTACCCGACCCACCATTAGCACTACACCACAGACCATCTCGACGGCACCACAAAAGCGACGCATCGCATCCGCTTCTGGCCGCCAGCCTGTAAACCGCTGCAGGGGAAAGACCTTGGCACTGCGCGCAAATATCCCACGCTGTGAAGGTAGAGTGAGAGGTCAGCGCAAGCTATGATATAAAAATCCAATTACGGAGTTTAGCGAAATTCCGAACCAAAAGCTTCATGGCAATTCACGCAACATTAAAAAAACGCATAAAACAGAAGCTTTACTACTCAGTGAGCAATAGGTTAAGTTCCAGTCGGTTTCCACTCTATGACAAAATACAAAGGAACGTATCATTTCTGCGCAAAAAACTAGTGCAATGTAGAACCAAATTGACTGCATAAATCAAAAAGTGCAACAGTTCCAGCAAATATCTACGAAGACACAAGCACAAGTACGTATGAGGCCTGACGAAAAACATACTGCAGTTTTGACATGTCTGTAGAGTGGAACTAACCATGTCGTGGTAGAGGTCAGCAGAGAACAGAGGCGCCACTTTAAGAACGCCAAAAAGGGCAAAAAATGCCCCAATTATGATCGAGATAGATTTTAAGGCGACATCGGACATATTTCAAATGTGCAGGAAAGGTGCTGAAACGGTTAATGAAAAAAGGATAGCTTACTAGTTGACAAATGCCGAACTTTGGGAGCAAGTCTACACAAGTGAAAGACCTACCGGTGCGTTTACATTCGGTAATGTACGGAATAGCAAACGCAGAAACTACAACGCTAACACAAACATGATGCCCTTTCACAGATATTTGTTTTCATTCGAAACCATAAAAGTGATATCAAAATGAAGAATCCTAAAATAGCAGAGTACTCTAAGGCCTTCCAACCAGAAAAAAGGTGGCTCAAATTTGTCTGGAGGACTTCTAAATATAGGGAATCCTTCTAAAATACTTGATTTTAAGGGCAAGCAAAGAAAAATACATTGTCAATCACCGATCCTTAATAAGACAAGTTGGAAAGCCGCCCTAATTTTACCTATACATAATGGCAGGAGATGTGAGCATATGAAAATCTTGCACCTAAAAGACATACAAATTGCTGGAGACGTCAAAACGATATAATGAAGATACCAGGAATCTAGCATGTTCAATAACTGCCAACTGCTTTATGGTGTCTTAAACAAGGACCAGCTAGAGGAAGTGTGTTACCTTAATCGTTGTCATGAATTAAATAAGTAAACTTGACATCACGGTGGACAGGGAAGTACGATGAAAGCAGGAGTGGCTCCCCCAGTTCCAAGTCTATCTGATGGCGCGACGTCACGATGATTTAAAGGAGTACAGAATAACAAGCTCGGAGGACCGGATCGACTGGCAAAAGAGGAGGAATGCTCTGCATTGCAAGATTAACTTCTGTGTTGGAATGTCAGGTTTTCTATGGAAAGGAGATCTAAGAACTGGGCTTGTACATTAGCAAATTTGGTTACACGGAATAAGGATCAGGCTTCCTAAATTGCTGTCAATTTTATTAAACCTCAACTAGCTAATTTGTTTATGTGTCTAAGAATGGCATACTTTGGCAACTGTCACCCAATCGTCGATACCTAATACATCATAAGACTAGCAGTTAACAGAAATGTAGGTTTACTTCAGTCGCTGCTTTACAAAACACAAAAATGAAATCGATTGCACTTCACAGAAGCAGAATTGTACTAAAGATTGATTAATTTGTAATTATGTTTAATTTCATTGGCTGCTTAATTTTACTTAACGACAGCGTCTCCTTTATTTGTCATTCCGATTACCTTTAAAGGAATCTTTCTTTTTGCACGTACGCCAAACTTTTTTGTAAGAAATAATTGCTTCCAATATTTGTGCATGTTAGTCACAAATGCTTTCAAGGCTATTTACAGCTTTGCTACTTTTGAATTACATTGCCGATCGTGTAACTTATCATTGCTCTAAAATCGCAGATTGCTATAAGAGCAACTTAAAGTTCTTGGGCAGACTTATCTGGCTCAAGTGTATACTCTCTGTGGGAGAAAGAAGGTATTTGTTCCCACCATCTCACTGTTATCTAAAATGTTGCGCAATTTCAGACTTGTAATGATTTATGAGCCTATCTGCAACTGGTCTCAAGGCAATTTTACAAATAGGTAATTTTTTTAGTGTAAATTATTTTTACTTCTTTTAGGCCCCTAATTTTACCAAATTTTTGCAAACTTGCACGATTTTTGATATCCTTAGCATTCATGGGTTTGCGTCAAGTTTAATCCATCCGAAAGTTCATAAATATTTTACGCAATTGTTTAAAATTTTAGATTTAGAAAAAATGAAAAGTGGAGATGTTTTGCGCCTACTACAGCTGAAAACTGTTTTTGGAAAACCAAGACATTCAAGTGTTGTTTTTTGTACTGATGCGTCTGAAAAAAGGAATAAGATCAAAACAGTTATTCGCCAGCACGTAGTTGCACATCTTTATCAAATGCGAAAAAAAGGCCTTTGCAAATTTAATATTGTTTTTTTCTCGGTGGAAAATTAAGATTGTTTTAGTGTAACTGGCTTCATTCAGGCCATCAAATGCAATCGATCGCGGGTCGAACTCTTAGTGACTTGGAATTTTGGATGTTTAGTTCCAAGCTAGGTTTACTAAGCTACGCTTTACTTGGACTAATGTCAGCAATCAATAGTTGAAGGTCTTATTCCATATATTTCGTCACTGATGGATATTCAGATGATGTATGATATGATTTCATTGCTTAAGTATACTTTAGGATGAGTTTGCCATTCAATTAGAAATTTAAAATATCAGTCGGAATCGCGACCTTTCGATTTTTTTTGATATGCAAGCATCTACCACCAGATATCAAAAGTATGCGAATGTTTCGAGAATTGGCTACCGATGGCTCTGATGCTTTGAGATCAGTCACGCTGGTGTCAACGAAACGGCAAGCTAAAAATCTCCGACTTACTGCAGTCAGTCTGATCCCTACTAAATCAACATCACCAGGTTTGTTTTTTTGGATTTCTTAAACTTATTTTAAGACTTTTTAAAACTTATTTTAAGTTAAAGCGAGTATTCGACCTATAAAGTGTTTTCATCAGCATCAGCAAGGGTGTTTCCTAATTTTTACGCAAGCAAACTGTGTTTTTTAAGCCTAAACTGTTGTGCAAATGTTGAAAAACTAGTAAGGTAGTAGTGGAGTAAAGTACAATAGTATTGATAGGGAGAAATAAGACTGCACTACCCAGTGGCTTTAATGTCATAGGAACTTAGAAGAAACAATAGATATTGTGTTTCCTCTCCGCTGGAAGCTTCCGCTGCCATAACAAACTACCTGGTTACCCTTGCTTTTATAAAGTCTTGATAGGGCATGCAATGGCTCTAAATTGCTCCTTATTGTTAGATCTCAGTTTTGCAAATACTTGTGCCTTTCAGGATGGGGGTCCACCATAAACTACCCAGTACAAGTTTGTTTTGAGGGACATTTATAAAAGTAGGTTTCGTTATACACCATTCAAACACTTTCTATAAAATAATAACTTACAAAATATAAATAATGACAAGTAGTATGTTTTTCTCTGAATTCAAACGATTCTCTGGCCTTGTTAGAAACTGTGATTTGACTATTAAATGATGATTAAAAGTGCATTATTTCCATTATTATTTAGCATTACTGAGAAGTCAATAAACGTTTAGATAAAATGTCTGAAATAACCAAATTCCACAATGCCCATTTATTTTTGCAAATATAATTTTGAAGTTCAGACACCATTGTCAGCAAAAGTCCACTTGTGACAATGTGCCATTATATTGTTGGTGTCAAGACGTGTTTTCTTTATGTTGGGGTTTTTGCGTAATTTTGATAATGTCATTAAATAGACTAATAATTGCTAAGGGAAAGCGTATCTGCAAAGATGTTTGGTTGGCTAGTGACTAGCGGATTGATGGTTGAGACCTCACTATTCGGAGGAGATGAACCTAAGTTTTACATGCTGCTCTCCTTTAAACGACACTTTGTTTATTAATACAATATGCTATAATAACTAAGTTGCACTTGTCATCCGAGTCAGAAGACATCTGGAAATGCTGATGCAAGTACGTTGGTTGTTTATTACCTTACGAAAAAAATAATCATCTTGGATACGGAGTTAACCAACGTCAGTTAATTAGTTCTAAGACGAAATGTTACTCGAGAGAGTGTATGAAATTCATTGCTTTCCGGTAGACTTTCGTGTTTCTTGGCTGATCTCATTCCATTGAATTATTTCTAAGGGAAACTAGTAGTGCGCTGTGTCAAAATCGGAAATAAGCAACAGAAATAATTGTTCATTTCCTCTGAGAATTTTGCTATGATTATAGTCATTACAAAGGTGATTAAGATTAAAAGCTTGCATAAAACCTTGTTGCCACGACAACCAATTTCTATTGTCCCTTGAAGCCTGAAAGGAGCCAATAATATGGGTAGAATTGCGACTTCCTATCGCATGCTTGCAAGTGTCTCAAGGTGTGCTCCATGGTTAGCCACTATCCCTTCAAAAGGTGCAAGCGTCGCAGTCTGTAGGCCGAACAGACCTTTTCAATCTAAGTGGGTTTTATTTTCTTTTACTTAATCCCAACTTTATTATTTTCGTGTTTAAATGGGATTAGAAACCTGGTAAAAAACAAAATTCTGCAACCCCCTCTTTAGCTTTAGTTAATGTTAAAAATAAAACCTAAACTTAAAATTTGTGAGAATTTCAACATGTTCCCAAGAGGTTCTCGATACGACTAAGAAGATCCCTACAGACCTTCATTTAGCAGTCATCTTTTTTAAACGGTAATGTACTGCTTTTTTGCACAGGAAAAATTGTTTCTTGTCTGGTGTATGACTAATCTAAAATGTTTACCAATATATTAAATATTTCATAACAGAACTAATTAATTGCCTATTTTTATTCTATCCAGTCGAAGGACACACATTTTTAACACTAGAAATCTTAACTGTCAACTCTTGCTACCAAATTTCTGTGGACTCTACTGAATTTTAGGGACTTTGCAGGTCAGTAATAATTATCAGTAACAAGAAAGTTTAATAAATCACAATTTTTGCATCTCCCTCCTCTCTTCAATAATAATGATTCTGTGAATTAAATGTCATTCTTTATTCCATGAGTCGGTGCAGTGTATCTGAGAGGATTCGGTGGAAAGTCACTTTTTGCTATTTGACACCTAAAAGATGTCGTTTAAGTAAAAGTAAGCAAGTAATTTCCATCGGAACCGCATGTAAAAGTTAGTCGGGAATGCCACAACTTGTGGGTTGTGCGAGCAAAATCAGTTAAGTACTACTAAGGGCAGGGGTCCTCCTGCAACTCAATTTTTATTGACAGGTGGAAGCGGCCGCTACGTGAGGACGAGTGAAGCCATGCAAAAGTGGTTGGACGATCAGATTACTCTTGTGTCCGGCGCGCAGGTAAAGCCGACACCCCCTGTTCCACGACCCGCGCCTACGTCACGATCTCCCTCCAAGCACATTTATCGCAACAAGAAGAAATGGGAGTGCGTTTCGACATCCATTTCACCCACTTGATGAAAGTAGATTTTCAAACGGTTTGGTGAATAAGTTCAAATAACTCATCAAATAACAATCTGAATGCTTCAAATTATAGTTTGTTCACAATGATTAAGTCTCTACTGTAAAGCTTTCAGTAGCATCTACCCCCTAACTACTAAAACATTAAAATAATCGTATTTTATGTGTAATGACGTCAAGATTTGTTAAAAAGCAATTGCTGAGAATTCAGATTTTGAAAGATGCCTTTGTGTTAGAGAAGTATTTAAATTTTGAGAAGAATAACCTATTTAGTATCAAGTCGATATAGTGAATTAACTTATTTCTCGTTTCAGGAACAACAACTTAAGGAAACAAAATCCACCTAGCGGAGCTAGGAAATCGAGTTGTAAAACGTATGAGTTTTGCCTGTCTTATTTGCATGGAAAATTGAAGTTCTATTTTAGCATCTTATCAGAAGGGGATTTAGTACTTGAAAGCCTATATGCATTTCAACATTTGATGATATTACTCTTCCCTTTTAGTTCGCAACGTCGGAAATCGTTTTCCAACTCTTTGGAGGCCAGTTGTAGTGGTCGAAATCCGTGAGTTTAATTATTTGTAAACTCTGAAGCTCCTCTTTTTTGTTAAATATTAAATCAGCTTCTATTTCGACACAGGGGTGGTGCATACTGTCTGTAGATGTATGTTTTCCGGGATCTTTTCGGTAAAAGCTTCTACTTAATTCATGGTACGATAAGGTATTTAAGTAAACCCATGTTCGTTTTTCAGATCGCAGAGCTCCCACTCACGATCAGTGAGCAAGAATAGCCTTAGAGGCGCGTAAGTGTCTGAGCCGGGGAAATTACCTTAGATCTATTGGTAACATCAAAAACCATTCAAAAAGTGCGTTTTTAATGCTTTACGGTAGTATTTTATTGTTAGTCCGTTTAAGACAATGCATTGTCAATAGAACTATTTTGTTTCTGGTTTTACAAGACCAATAAAGCGCGACACTATTTAATAACAAGTGTTTTTAAAACAAGGGTTTATTTTATGCTTCTTTAAACGGATGCATTATGAGAAGAATGCAGTTAAAACAGCCTTGCACCTAAATACTAGTCTTTTTATGGGAAGTGATTTGCTTTGTCTTTTAAGAAATAAGTCGAAGTGCATTGGTCATAAAATATTAAAGTGTCTTTGAACGGTCACCCTATCCTGTTTTATGAATCCGCTTCACACCTATTTTTGACCTGCAGTTAATAGTCTCCTCAAAAAATACGGTAGGTAAATTTATAAGATTTGCCGCTTAACATTCGTATCTTCATTTATAAGTAAGTACATGGGATATTTTTCATGCTCGTAATAAAGTGGGGAATTTATTTTTTTAGAAATTGTGGTACAGCTGAAGAATCAATCTTGGAAAGTTACTTTACAGTGGTTAAATTTTGAGAAAGGTGCCATTTCGGAGTGCTTCTAAAACGCTCATGTGGAAAAGGGGACTTTGTTTTACTGAAGAAATCATCAATTACTTTGATTTATATGACAATCTGTTGCGAGCATTCATTTTGCGGTATTGGAATATTTTACCGATTTATTTTAAACGAGGGAAAGAAGCAGAATCAATATATTACAGCTAGGCAATTAGGTCGTAAAACGTGCACTTTTTGCCTGTTGCTTTTAATTTTAAGGACACTCTGCAAAAGCAACTTACAGCGACTCAAAGGTATAGCGAATCGACAAATTCCCTGTTTTAAATCTTAGAGAGTCACTCGAAAGAAGCTAGCTATGCAAAACTTGAAACAATTGATACCGTGTATCGAGAGGGAACAGTTCACCCTGCATTGGTGTTTACATTTCGTTTAAATTTTTAACTATCTTGCATCGTGTTTGTCTCCTATAACGCATTATGAGGTGTAGGATATTGAAAGATCTAATGAAATGCCAAAATGAAAAGGTTTGTTTTTTACTGTTTTCGTTAACGTCACTGTCAAAGCAGTAGCCAAAATTCTTCAAATTTTGTTTGCTATAAATTAATAAGAGTTTGTCCAAAACTAATCATATTTTGGGTCAGCAGTAAACACCATAGCAGATATCCACTAAGGGGTATTAATTGAAGTGAACATCTCTATGATAACGTAAATGTGTAAGAATAGCCACTTTCTTCTACAGCTTTTTTTTAGTTTCAAAACAAACATAGAGACAGTTGATGCCTTCATACAGGGCAGTCTCTAGCTCATAATCGCGCAATCTAGTCATGGCATTGTCCATGCTCTAAGCTGCCGGACTGCAACTCTGATGGGATGACAAGAATGTGTAAATCTCACGTATTATTACTTCAGATCACAACGTCCTCACTTAAGAACAGAGGATAGAAATAAGTGAGTAGCCGATTAAACAAAACATTTCTGGCTGATAAGTAGCATTCAAACACGAAGAGAAAATTTTAATTGCAACAATGTTTAAAGTGACCAATTATTGAGGCGTTTTCGTTTTTTCCTTCTGAAATTTCAGTTATTGGTTTTCCAACTTATCGCTAATTTTAATCTACAGACAATAGGATACAACAATTAAATTGGTACATGTTGTCTCATAAAAGCCATTATATCCTCATCCTATTTTCATTCCAATTGCCAGCAGATGTTTGGTTACGTAAAAAAATTCATAAATGTGTAAAAAGGCAATAGGTGCCTTCAACTTCCCAACGTAGGAGATTAGGAGATTTAAGTGAATGATGTGTTTTGAGGTGGGATTTTTTAGTTCGATTTACCAATTTTGTATCTTCAAATTTTGTGACTGTGTAAAGGTGGTAATAAATTTCCGCATACTTAATACACCAAGGGTTTTTTTTTGTTTCATGCAAAAAACCATTAAGTGCTATTTTATTTTGAGACATCAGCTAACAACACCGAGGCAAACCCAAGGTGATTTACACCTCGTGACCAAAACTTAATTTTCAGAATTAGTCTACTTTCTAAAATAAAATGTTAATTTCAGCTAACTTGATGGACTGTTAAAGTAAGCATTCGGTTAAATTTGTTGATTTCTCTCAATGAAACAGACGACATATTTTAATCAAGAACAGCGGATTTGCCTTCTTGGGGAGTGGTTCCTTCTACTGTCAAAACGATATTAGGCTAAAGTCAACCCAATTTTCCACTTCTTTGCCCGACTAAATTTTTGTACCTGTTTTAGTAAAAAGGAGCGGAAGAGGAGATCACGCGGTAGAAACATAAACAGTGAATCTACTTGCAAAACGTATGTGTTTTTGCGTCTACCTCATTTTTGAGGGGTTTGGAAATAGCAAATTAGAATAGCACTTGGAAGTTAATTAGGAATAAGTTTTCCACAAGACTGGATGCCAAGAAAAAATCTTGGGTAGTTTTTTGTTTATGATAAACAACTCAAATAGACGCCTACTCCATGTGAAGAATAATAAGGAACGCTGAAAATTAGTCGAGCTATTTAAAAGCCCGTACCTTTCAGTTTAGCCAAACGATTAAGTAAACCGTTAATTTGAGGAACTCGCAACCATTTAACAAAATGAAGTAATTTGAGTATGGATTAAATTTGTGGACGAAACAGCAGCAGCTTAATGAAAAGGTCATTCTGGTGGAGTTTAAATGCACTTCTGCGTGGGAGAAATGTTAGGAAAATTACTGCAAAGATGTTTACATGATCTTAACGTATCGTATATTTGGTTCCTTTAGCGCACAAATGGACAAATCTTACTCGAACTCTACAGAAGACAGTTTTAACGGTGAACTAAATCGGTATTTTAAATCTAGGAACTGTAAAATAAGCACTTTCTAAAATATATACTTCACCCCTATAAAGCTATAGACGGCTTAACTCCCACCATATATGACCGCGCTGGTATTTACTAGTGTGATGTAATTTGATAGCACCATTTTATACCAGGAAGACCCAGTCGAAGAAATACGTGAGTATATCGTTCAGTAGTTTTTCTTGAAAAAATATCTTTTTATCCCAGCAAATAGTACTGCTGATTGGTTCATAAGGAAACTAATCCATAGCCCAATGAAAATTACACCTTCATTTGTAATAACTTATTCTTACTTGTTATCGAATTTATTTTAGAGGGATTTGAATTTAATATTGAAGAACTCTTATCGTGCCAAATGATTTGATAATATGATAGCTTTATATATTGTAATTCAAATGTATGGACAAGCAAAACAAATAAAAACACTGTTGCAGGCATTATTTGGTATTCCTTTATCAGATGGTGCATTTGACTCAAAATTATAAAATCAGGAATTTGGTGGATTTCATTTGCCTAAATTTCCCGTGGAATATAATCCCCTTTGATTTATTAGCAATCTTGTTTGCTTAGGCCATACGCCCACCAATCACGATCAAGCAGCAGTGATGGGGAACGATACGACGTAAAAGTTCAGTAAGTCTTGTACATAATAGTGGGCTAAATACAAAGCGGCTTTCCATTAATCCTTCTTTCTGTCCAGACGATCATCATCCATCCAAAGTGTGTTAAGTTCACTTGACTCAGCTGGAGGTCTTCTTCTTGGACGTCACGTTCTTGCCCCGCGGCGCGATCACGGAAATCGTCTGTACTTGGGAGTAATTAAAACACAGGTGTGTTCAGTATTGCGACTCTCATAATTTATTGACATTTAGCAAAGGTACCAAAGGGGTGCCTCACAGTAAACCACATTTAGACGTCAATTTTCTTCGTTTTATCAGGGGTCTCAACGTGTTGCTGGAAATCGGAGATCCATTCTCCTTTCATTGAGTTAATTTTCGAAAGGGTCGTATTTTTCCAAAGGTATCATGGGTCCAATCTTAGCCCAGAAATGTTATGGTCACAGATAGATCATGGTGTTCTAAAGTGCGAGTTTCACCAGTGTTATTCAGGTAATGTAGGCTCAAAGGTTTTCCATTTATAACTTCTGATAATCCAACCAAATGATCTCAGTCTCTACAATTAAAAAAAGCAATTTGCTCGCAGACTGTTGTCAGTGTAACGAATGTCACAAATTGCATTCCGTTGTTTAAATCGGTGAATTGTACAGTCTTACAAGCTAAAACCAATACTACGACAATGTTCTAAAAAATTATGCAGAATGAGGTCAAATTGAGTATTGTGGCGTTTGTCTCTTGAATATTTTCATCTGTCCGTCTTGTAAAGTTTCTGCTTGAGAACAGATACTAGTGCGGGTAAAGGTCTAAAAAATGAAAAAGGTGGTTTTGCGACGTTTAATGGTAAAGTAACTCATCAACTTCTTGGCTCTTTGTGCGGACAATGTTTGTTGTTTTACTAAATTCTAGTTTCAATTTTGTTGTTTTCACTAAAGGTATTTAGCATGTCTCTAAGTTTGAACAGGTAAAATAATAAAGAATAAAGAGCTGGCATTAATGATGCATAGAATCAATGGAAGTGAGTCCAATCTTGAGATTCTCAACGTAAAAATGCTCAGGAATTTGCTACTTTTTTGTTTTTCGTAATTTTGTAAGGGTGGTGCGGAATAAATTTAGGTAAAGTCATTTGGCGTTATGAAAAGCAATGTAACGGTTGCCATTTGCTTTGTGCTGGAGAAATACTTAATTTGTCACAGGTGCACTGGAATGCCATTAAAGGAAAGCCACTCAAGAGGGGCAGCTTTTATTGTCAGATTGGGGTTTTAAGTAAGTCCAATTTCTCGAATCCCAAAAATATTTTGGTTTCTTATTTGCTCGTTCCTCCTCTCAAAAATATCTTTGTCTGCTTCTGTCATTTTTAAAATTAAAAACCTACAAATATTCATATCAAATCGCCTCCTATTTAGACAAAGCTTCTCGCCGCGTTTAAAAAGACAATAAAAGTCAGTAAATTCTAATTATTTTCCTCTTTAGGAAGGGTTGGTTGTACATGATATGGTACAAATATTATTTGTTCCATGTAAGTGCTAGTCGAATTTTAGTATTTAGCTCTTCTCTGAGAAGGTTGAAGTGGAATCAGATGCATTTATTTAACACTTAATGTAACACTAAGCTATTGTTATTAGACTGACGAATACCACAAACATATGGGTCCATTAGGGATGAGAAAGAAAAATAAATTAAGAGCAGTATCTATTTGCATATCTGATAACTAATTGATACTTTAACTTTAAAAAAATTTATTGACTAAAATATCGGAAACTTATTTTACAACAAATTTATGGTTCCTTAGAGAGAGGTATTGTGTATTGTGAAAAAACCACAGTTTTTGAAGGAAAGTGGGTGGCTGAAAAAAACCCATAGCGCAAGTTTTGAGATACATCGTACGACACTATAACGTTCTTTCCAGGAACGTTTGACGTGTCGCATACCGTGCTCCCCTCATTCACGAAATCTGCGAAAATTTTTGTTACTAAAGAGCTCAATAGGAAGGAAACCCTAGTTGGAGAAGCGCAATATTTTGGCATTTGTAATCGCACTGCGTTATTAAACTGACACGTCTTAAATCTACAATCGTGTAAACTAATCATGGCATTGGAGTTATCTCTGACGTTATTTTAGATAAATAAGTGTTTATTTAAATGTGATAAATGCTTCCATATAAACTTTTGTGGAATGTCCCCCCTTAATCTACCCAATTCCAGGGATGATAAAACTTGGGCTGTAATTATGGACGGTTAGGGTAAAGTCATCTTTTATTAAACCCATAACTAGCAGTCTAAAATTAGCGTCGCCGTTATCTCTACTGCAGTCGAAGTAACTTTTTTTGTTCTACATTTTAGTTTGTTTTTTGAATCGAAGAGTTTGGTGGTAAATATATGAGGACTTAAAGTACTGCTTCAACCTCATTAAAAACTTCCAAACAAGTCTGCACAACAGCATCTTTGGTTATTATATTTATTCCTTCTTTTGAAAGATTTATAACTTCTAAGCCATTCTACTTCTGTGCAGGCTAGGTTCCACTAACTATTGAGCAAGGTACTTTTAATTAGGTCGTAAATTCAAGACCACTTAAAGGCGCTAACCCAGAACGCATATCTGGAGTTTTCAGTTTAACTTTCCCCACTGTAGGACTTTTCATTTGCTAATTATAGTTAAATTCAACAAAGGAGGACTGTACTTATGTCCAAAGGGTATGAAGACTTTCTTAAACTCCAAGAAATTTGTTCATCTACCCAAGCCACCTGATCTTCTCATGTAGTGCTCCTCGATGATGTTATAAGAACTTTCATCACTTCAGCTAAAAACTTTTACTTTGTTCATCCCCGTGTTTTCTTCACGTACTTCGTGTTCATTTCTAGGTCGATACATTGCTTCGGTCCAGTATCATTAGGGCTAGTTTTATTCGAATAAATATGAAGTGTTAACTAATAAATTCTTAACAGTAGGATCTAATTAACCTCTAGTATTGCCTCACCCAAACGTGCTTCTATTTTTTCTTCAGAAAAGGAGTAAGCGCTTTGGAGTAGTCTTCTGCATTCCCTACGCTGGTCACGGAGGAGAGGAGAGCTTGGAATACTGCATGCAGGAGGTGGAGATTGACGACATCTTTTCCTACACCGACCTTTATCGCCATGCGGTGTGCGAGAAGGACGACGTTCTTGTACCGGCATGCCTTCTCCAACCTCGTGATGGTGACGGAACGCGCCCAGAGGCCCCGGTAGACCCTCCCTATGCCGGTCAACCCTATGTCCTCGCCGTAGTCTATAAGGGCTTCGAACCTCGCTCTTCCCGTGCGTCTCTCTTCCCTTAATGGTTATTTGATGCCCTTCTGACCTCAAAAATTGGTTACTGATGCGTCATCTAAAAAAATAAAAAAGCAGGTAATGTCATACCTGAAATGTTGGGTTTATAAAAGGTCAGAGGCTTTTTAAAGGAACAGAAACTAGATTTACTTCCCACCTAGCTACCTACTACATTTAAAAACCTATCCAAGTGGTTAGCTGGTACCTGTAAAACTTTGACACAACAGATGATATCAGTACCGTTGAGCAATCCCAGGACAGCGTACCTTACTCCGACAGCGGTGATGACAACTTGACCTCCAGCATACTCTGTTGTAAGTCCAAATAGCTAGTAATCACTAGGCAAAGTCCAGGCCGTCATGTGCAAGCGATGCAACGAACAGTATAGGGTTGTCATAGCACCTAACGTGGACTAAGTTTAAAATATGGCGGATTCTATTGAAGTATTGTCTTCATCATTCCTCCAGAAATCCCACAACAGCTTATGAATAAATTATCAAGATTCAGGCATCCTGTCACCACATTGGGATTGAAGTCTTTTGTGGATAACTACTACACCGTTTCAAGTGCTTGCTTCAACTGGTGCCCACTGTCTTGATTAACGGTAAATGGACTGGCATGCAACGTACCTCACCTATTAATACTCATAATAGACCACATTTGCCACTTACTAACTCGTGTGATACAGTCAGGGTAGCATCACTTAGCATGCATGGAACATTAAACTTCCTGGCTGGACTTGAACATGTTTCGGAGGGAGACAGGTTAACCGTATTTGGTACTATTCCTCCCTACCATTTTACATGGTCTTCGAGTCCTACTCTTTTTGGGTGCTTTCCCGTCTTAATTCTCCATTGTCACGTACGCAATGGTAGAGTGCTCTGTCGACGACTGTTTTATTGCTTGCTAATGGCGCATCTTGAAGGCGAGAAATAATACAGATGAGTAAGTAATATTAGTGACCATTTTTTAGTTAGTTACAATAATTAGGGATCTCGCATGCATTTAATCGTCCTTGTTTCACTGCTGCTGCTACTCTGTTAATCTATTTTACTGATCTATTTATCAAGGCACTAATTCGGCAAATTCCTGCAAATGATTACCTCTTTAACGAGCATATTAAATGAAATTTAGAAGGTTTATTCTAATTAGTAGATTATAAACCTTGTGGGATCTCAAAATGAGAAAGATTACATGCTCTTGATTTTCAAGACATATGTACGTATATTTTAATACTAGTTTTTTTCAGATTTGTGAGAATAGCCCAAATCCCATTAGCTGAATATCTTTTAGTTGTTCAACCTACCCATTTTGTTACTAACGTTTGTCCTCAGAACTGATACAGGGTTAATGGGCTCTGACGATTTCTAAAGTTTTGGAGAAACATGGCCTTGGACCAGACATTTAATTTAATAATCGGGCTTTAACTGCAAGTTCACACATTTTAATACCATTGCGTAATTGGTAATTGTTTTATAGACTTAGAAAATTAATTGAACCAATGTATTCACCTAATATGAAGTTAGTGCTGACAAAATGACGAACCCCAAAGGTAATTATATTCAAATAGTAAGCGAGAAGTTTGTTTACGGTCATTAAACTCACGAAAATAAACCACGCAGTGTATATGGTCTGGGACTGTTATCCACGCTGTGAAAGCGATAAAGTTGTAATGAAAGCCTAAAAATCATCACTTAGAGTGGCAAGGTTAAAAGTTATTATTACCAAAGAACACCTACTCATATTTCAACGGTTGACAGTTTGGTGCATCTGCTATTAACATCTTTTTAAGAAAACTGCACTAACTGTTCAAGTCAAGTTGGTCTATTGCTTAGGGAGGATCGGATTACCAAGACGTAAGACGGCCTCACTAGTGGTGAAAGTAGCAGGAGGTGAGCGACCGCGTCTTTGTGCAATTCCTGTAAGGTGCGCTCTGTGGATCCCGGAGAAGCAGGCGCATATGCTTTACAGTCAGAACTGCCATTTCTACGACCAAAAGCCGACCAGGAAACGCGACTTGAGCCCATTCCATGAGGAACACGAGTCCCTGTGCATGCATGGCGGACCCAACTCGCCTAGTCATCGTACCGACAACGGTGATGCCGACAGCCAGCACTCGTACAAGAGCTCGGATCTCTTCCGTAGATCCGTGGACAGTGCAGAGTCTGGCTCGCCTTCGGATGTTCGCCAGAGAAATCGTTCTTTGGGAGCAAGAAGTCATGCAGGTAATGCGGGCGTGGGAGAATTGAGAGCGTGTCCTATTACTAATAGCTGGCGCACATTTCGCGAAAAAGTTTAGATACAGGTAACCTGGTTGAGGTTCAGTGGTGATAGCTTGCACATGTAATAGTGTGCAGTGGTGAAGTTTTTAACGTGAACGAAGGTATAGTTCCTGAGGTTATTCGTATCTACAAAAAAACTGCAAGCACAGGACGCACGTCTCCTGGATCACTCAGGGTTAAGTCGCTTAAATGACGCCAAGGTTTCAAAGAGGCCCATACGTCTGTATGTCATTGAAGAACCCAGTAGTGGTGGTTTCGTTCCCAGCCCACACCATAGTAGCCACTCCTGCAAACTTTTAATTCAGCAAGCTGAGCGCCCGATCCTGGACACTAGATTGGCGCATAATCTGTCACTTAATTGTACAGAATATGTGCAAATCCCTCTGAGGAGACGACCGATGTGGTCATTCGCGAATATGAGCGTTTACGATTTTAGAGAAAATCAGTGCTATTTTCGCTCCTGACCGTCAAAGTTGGCTGCTCCAAGATAGTTCAGCCATACTAGTCCAATCAAACTTTTTCAGGTGCTAGTAAACTACCAGGATAAGTGTATAAATGCAGCAGGGTGCCATGTGAGAAAATTAATCCAGTTTGTCCATCACAAAATGCGTTCCACTCAAAACCCCCGGTTCGATTTTAACATCTCCGGTAAATGCATATCACAGCGACTTTATTAATTTCATGCTAATCAATTGGACGAATGGCGCGCATTTACAGCCTGTTTACGAATTCCAATGTTCACTTTAGAAGAGAAGCACTTGAAGTTCACTTTGCACCAGAAAAAGGCTCGATTAAAAACGCCCTTTTCTAAGCATAATTGCCATTTGTTTTTTGGAAATGATATCTCGTACTTTTCGGAAGACTTACGGTTGCTAAAGTACAATTGTGTACAAACCGTATAGTTACCTGGACCCTACATGTACAGCAAAACAAATGTCATTGTTCCCCTATCAAATAACTCTTCCAAACGCTGGGTGGTTGAAGCACGTTAACGAATTTGCTAGTACGGTTAATAACGTTTTTGCAAGATAAATAGTCCCAAAACATGCCACCTAACAGTAAATCATGTTATGAATAATCACTAACTGTTTCTTTTATTGACCACTGGATACATCCTTACGTGAAGCAGACGAGCTTACTAACAACCTCCCAGCGAAGATAGGCATCCCTCAGCTCTGAGCCGTACATTTACAAACTGTAAATGGGGATGATAGTTTGCCTTACAGAAATAAGTTTTCCTGATGGATGACTTAAATCACTGTCAAACGTTAAGTAGTTTGTTGCTTGAGAAGAGAATTGAACCCTGTGTCTCTTATGCAAGTCCTGAATTTTATCATAAATCATTTACGGTTTAATGGGATCAATTTCGACCGTCCTCGTCAACTGTTCCAAAATTCCAGACCAGATAGGCCCTTTTCGGGAACTTTTTATAAGTTAAGCTGTGAAATATACATACGCTAAAATAAATAGACCAAATAGTCACCGCTCTTTAAAATGATACAGTGAACTAACATCCTCTGAGCATTTACCAGTTTGAAATTTTTGTTACATTTTGTGACATTTCAAGGGGAGTTATCCGCATTCCGAAATCAGCTCATGCTTCCAATGTCGATTGTTCAAATCGGTGCAGCCTTTTGTTTGTACTCATAAAATTTTGTAATGATTTGTCAATAAATTATGCGAGTTATTAATTCTTCGTCCAAAATACCAACATCTCTCTTATTAACAATTCAGTGTATTATTCCACTATTATCATCGTTGCTAATTTTCTGCAAATGAATGAAATAATTTGATAACTAATGCAGTGGAGGCAGAATCAAATCAGTCCAATTATTCAGTCTTTACTTGTTAGATAAAAGCAGCTCTCCACAAAGTAGACAGAAGGTTCAAGGCCTTGCTAAAGACAGGCATTTCCTAAAGCCAAAATACTAAGGATGCATGCTTTCAATAACTGGTAGGGAATGCTTAACGTTCCTCTTTCGGGAAAAGACATGACCCACCGCAGTAATAATACCTCAATGGGGAAAATATTTTTGTCTTGAGATACCGAGAGCAACAATTCGGACGGATTTTCAGCATTGGAGAAGCGCTCTCAAAGCTCCAGTCGATGTTCAGAAAACAGTAATTCCATCACCAAACGCCCCATTTGGCAGTATTGGGGTCGGGCTCAAATTCCAGATCTTCTGGACCCTCCTAGCCACGAGCCCTACATTCCAATGCAAGTCTTTGGACCCACCGCTCTAGTTAACTCTCAGCGTGAGTTCTGAGACTGGGTGGTGATTTTATGGAGGTTTTGCTAAAGCTTGCAGACTTCTAGGAGTTCTTAAACACTTGCCCTCAGTTACAGTTCTTAAAAATTATTATTCTTGGAGCTAAGTGGCCAGAACAGTTTGTGCTTTCACTGGGGGAAGCTGTTCAAACTGACACTTTCGAAAATGCATATTATTAATTGTGCTTGCCTACAGCTGGTAACGAATGGCCAGCAGCTCATTTCGCAGTGGTGAACCGCTCTGTCGACAGCATGACTGCGCAAAATGACTCAACACGCGTTTACGAGGCCATGCGTCAAATTCAGAACTCACCTGCAGTGCCCAAGTCAACCGATATTTCGTGAGTTTCCGCAGGTTTATGTGATAGCGTTCACGTAAAAACGCCTCGGAAATTTCCATGTTCTGCTTTTTCACAGGGTTAACTTATTAATGCTACTTCTCATCGCAGTGTAACTCGAAGCCAACCGAATACGAGTAAAGATGGTGGTTTCGGAAGTTTCCTCCACAAATCGCCATTTAGAAACGAGGACAGGCTGGCAAGTGCCTCACTTCGAGATCTGTACCGCCGGAACTTGTTGAAGAATCGCAAGGAGACCAAAACGAATTCTGCCTGTGACCTCAACAGACACCACTCCATCACCAAATCAGTTAGGAGTCAGTGAAGTGAATAGATTAATCACGCGCCCACTTGTAGCACTCCCCTTCATCTTCTATTGCCACAGTTTGCTTTAGTCTCTGGCACAACCATATACTCTCTCGCACACAGGCAAGCATCTATGCACAGTTCAAATGTTCCTCCAGATATGTTGGTATATTTTGGCACACTTATTTTCAAATCCGCTGCAAAAACTGAAACTATTCTTTCAGGGCCTAACTTTGAATAAGCAACTTTGGTGTCATCATTTGCGTTTTCGCAATGGTTAAACATTTTTTTCGTTCCAGAATTTTGAATTTAAGGGCACAATTATCCTCTTTCGTCAGGAAATCCCCGGAGGCCGTTTTTCTAGCCAGTACGATACGTTTTTTTGAGATGAAGGAATTCTGCATTTCATGAATGAAAGTGCTTTTCATCTAAAATTACCCAAACCTTTGTTTCCGCTAGTCGCACAAAATATGCGTCGATCCCCAAAAAGGTAATTTAGCACCCACGTGGCCATAGCAACATTGAATGGCCGTGTCCTATATTTGGAAGGCCACCAATTCTAAAGGAAGCCCACTTCTGTACATTGTATCTCACTTCATCTACAAAACTACAGTCAAACTCCCCATTGGCTCTATGGAGAAAAAAAGTGGAACATTGCCTTTAACGCCTGGATTCACTTTAGCGATTTGATGAAAAGGAGGATAAAAAAAACAACCATCGTGGCTCTGTCGTTTTATGCTCCAATAGAATAACGTCGTATTCATCTACATGGGTCGTAATTTAGTGAAACTACTACCGGTGGAATTAAAGCCGCCTGGATTAGCAGTACCTACCAAATAAAAGCAATAAGTACGTAGTACGCTACTGATATCGTTGCAAGCAGCAGCTGGTGTCCACGTCAAACAAATTACTTGATAAGATTCAAAGGCAATAAAAAGAAAGTAATTAGAAAGAAAAAGCTCAGGTGTCGAGGTGGATGTGCGAGTGCCTTTTCCTATAAGCTAAAAATTGGAAGAAAATAGCGATATCAAATGCCATTTGAATGCATCCGCAGACGGGAAATTGGACAGGTGCTTTGGAGAGGAAAAAGTAGATGGTCTTGAAGAGGTCACCCATAGTCCACATCAGTACCATTTCTAAACTAAAAAGAACATAGCAGAATCATGGCTTTCATTTGCATCATTCTTAGAAACCATGAAGTTTAGACATTCAGCATTCGTTAGAAATCGACACCTGTAGCACCTCATTGGAATTATGTAAGGTGGACTGGAATTTTGTGCAAGGAAAAGGCAAAAACACATTTCGAGGAGATGAAATCGCATTTGTTTTCTTACATGGTTGCTCGCAACGGTTACAAACATACCAATATTTGGCTAGTACATGAAAAACTTCGACATAGAGGGAGTTGTTGGCGCGGCTAAAACACCCTAAAAATGTCTGCTTCACTTCCCCATCGGTACTGGTTTTCCGTGTGTGATAACCGCCCAAAATTGAGCATGGTCATGCTCGTGAATGATCGTCTACACCACTCCCTCAGGAAGACTTGTAATAGTGTCTTGTGAAACTGCACAACAGGCTATGGGTCAATCTGGTGTCCGAGACCGAGTACTACACGTCACGAATTAGATGTTTGCTGCAATTATAGCTGCGCTCTAGGCTGGGAACAGAATCATCACGGCCGAAATCACCAATAATGTACTGCTGGGCGGCTGAGCCTCCTATCACCGCACTGTGAATGATCTCCTTCTCCAGATGTGAATATCTTCGGATGTTATACCTTTATTCATAAGAGGCCTCACCATCACATGCTATTGCATGCATGTACTACCACCACTGTCTACCGTCTTCAATAGCATTGGTCCACGAAGTGTAGGTAGCTGCGGGTGGTATCGTCAGAGTAAAATGAATTATAAGCACAGAGCATGCATTTGGCTTGTAAGTACGTCCAAAAATACGTTTATTCTAAACAGTTCGGGTAAAGATGGGAACATCAGTAAAGGATCGCGTCATCTTCTAGATAGGCCAGCTGGAAATATCAATGAAACAAGAGGCAGGAATGAAACTACCCCATGAGCATGAAATGCATTTTAACGGGCCATCCTAGAAAATAAAACACTGCGGGAGACCATAACTATGGCAAATTATGATGAGTCTAAAACAGTAATTAAAGGTTGCACAATTAACGCAAAGTACTAAGATGGGGAACAGTAATTGTCCGCACCTCATACCAACCGTAGAAGAATGTCGGTAGTTCCGCAGAAATTGAGGAAGAGCGAGTAGGGACTCTGTGAGGAGAGAAAAGAATCCGATTGTCTGAACGAAGAAGTAGGATGAACTGAATGCAAAACAAGGTACGCCGAAGACCACAGAGAAGAGGATGACGAACTTTACATAACTTTCGTAGTCACTCCAATGCCAGAAATACCTCCAGTCAAGATCTGTGAAAATACAAATTTACAGATAGGAGGGAGAGCGACTATAGATTTAATATAAGAAAGCAACGCTCACCGGAGAATACATGTTCGCCACCGTCACAGGGGGGCATTTGCCGATACTTAACCCAAACGTACATCATAAACATCATCGTAAAAACCATAAGAAAGGCTTGAAGGAGGAGGGGTGTAGGGAAAGGCTGACCAAACCTATCAAAGAGAAGTCAGATGTTTGCTTTATTTTTTTGCGACTAATTATAAAAAATGATTTAACAGTGCATTTCATCATATCAGCGTAAAACTGCCATAGTTTACTAGTGACTTGGCTGCAGATTCACTTAGAATAAGTCATCAAGGCTTTGAAATAGCCTGCTTAAAAAGAGACAACTTGGCGTCAAACGAAATGTGAAGTATCAGAATCAAAGGCATACAAGTGATGCACACTAAAGCAGACTAACCAGAATCCGATCCTCAGAAGATTGGCGATTGTGAGAGTCAGGCAGACGTAAGGCGAAAGTCCGTCTGAATTTTTAAGGCGCTTTATTTCCAAATATTGCGGAAGGTAAGGAATAGCACCACCGAAGATTACAAAGAATGGCAGCAATCCCTTTGACATATCCAAAAGTGCCCAGCCGAGATTGAGCATCTTATGGTGCTGGTGATTGTAAATTAAAATCGCATTAAATTGCACCCACTCAATTCGCATTATTACAAAATAATGGTACAAAAAAAGGCGAAAAACGTTCCTCCCCCAACAGCAAAACTGATGCTGCCAGTAAGTCAGAGCGATTCACTTGTGGTTAAGAGATCTACCATAAAAAACATTTAAGTCAACTTTATCAACGCAACAAGTACCGAAGCAAATCGGCAATAAAGTCCGAGTTTAAAGTATTATTTAGAGCTGGTGCTTTTGGAAAGAAAAAGCTCAAAAACAAAAATTGACCGAGAAATTTTCCCAACCTACTGAACAGAAAAGCAGGCGAGTTTTCAGTAAAACTAAGAACAGGTGTAAGTAAGAGTAAAATTTTGCGGTCGTTGTAATGCATGAAAACCTAACCACTACTATTGAAGCCCCTTAGGCCATGGTAAAAGTTACAAAGCATAGTGTCAAATTCGGCGGTCATGCTTTTTGACCAATCGCAATACGAATCTACGTAAATTATTACCGTCGAAATCCGATTGCAGAAAGGTCCGAGAATACATTTGTGTGCGTTTTTTAATTGTGGCATGACTCAAGGAACAATCCTAGCAAATAAATTCAGTAAGTTTCTTAACCAGTCACCTGAGTAAAATCCAAAACCATGAGATGCTGCACTTTACATCATCAACGCCTGACTGGCTCTGCTTATGCAAACGAATGAACCGCAATATCTACTGTCTCGACCACTTCACGGCCTTAAAACGGTTGCAGCAATGTGACATTGCCTGACGGTAGGCCTAACAACTGCGGCTCCTCAGCCCCTGCGAATTAGGGTTGCGCTTAATATTGTAGCGCAAATGTCGTTCATATAGCCCTTTATCCTTCTCTGGGTTTGAAAATGACCTATGACTTTAGAAAGTGCCCCCCTTTCTAATTTGAAACTTACACCTTTCCGCTACAGCAGTTGAAAAGTGACTTAACGAGCTCCATGTATGAAAAATGAGTTTAATCCTTATTTTACATATGCGAACTGTCTCTGTAGCAACCAAATATAAGGCAAATAATACGCACAGAATGAATATTGGCGCTTCCTTTAAAACGCTACTTCAAATCAAATGAACGAAATGCACTTTTTCTGAAAAAGCGCATTTACCTGAACCTTATTCGTGCAAAGGAAAAAGGTGGTTATTTTTACCAACATAAACCAAAATTATTGTAGCAGTTTTCACAAACATGACTACAAGGAGTCTACACCCCCAATGGTTTCTGGCACATAGGTGCATATGTTTATAAGTACGCACGTCAATAACTTCCTCTAGTGCTCTGGTTATTACCTCTTCGGGGAGGCTTGTGGAACTGTAGCAGGAATAAAGCACTAGTGGCAGCATCTGTAGTCACTGAGTCATGTAGAATATAAGGCGAGGGGTGTAATAAAGCAAACTGCTATCAGGACGGAGCTCTACACAGGCCCACTGACTGAGAGCCATCTGAAATCACCTCCGACTCACGATGACGGTCGGAACCTCGGCTGAGCCACGGCTAGCCCATGCCGCATCGCCTACATCGCGCCCGGGCCGGTCCGTAAGTACCACGGCAAAGCAGCGGGCCCGGGGGACGCGCGGGTACGAGGCACTAAAAGAACGCAACAGCGACAACAAACCGGCCCCGAGGGCCCAGCAAAAATTGCGCCCGTGCGCAACGTAGGCGCCGGACGCCGGCCACGGTGGCATGAAGGGAATCGGCAATCTTAGACTCTGTACACCATCATCGTCTAAGTCACTCCCCGTCACAAGGTCGGATGAGCGAGGTCTAAGACTAAACAATACAAAGTAACGTAAAACACTTGCCCTTTTTAGATAAATATTTTAACTCCAAAAAATCACAAAAAAACCAAAACCCAATTAAATAAAAAATAAAATTAAAAATGCATTAGAATTTGTTTTTATATTTTTTTTTAAAATTTCTTGATTTAAGTTAAACATAGGGTAGAGCACTATACACTTACTTGTATTTATAAGTAGAATAACGTTCTACAAAAAAAGATGCACACTCCAAGACAAAATATCAAATGTTTAAAGGCACAAAAGCTGGACCCCTAGATCGTGCTTAAATAAACGTTAATCACTTTTTGTAATTAGCTGTTTGTCGTAGAGCTGGGTGCAATAATCCTAGGGTGCGCTGCAAAACAAAAATTCAGTTCCAACTTATGGCATTGTATTGAATTTATGTAGGAGATTGAATCCCATGATATAATTTGACTATTTTTTCCCATTGTCTCTGCGGACTTTCGTTCCTACATATAAAATGATTATCCAGACTACTTGCATTTTGTTTTAAAGCTCACAACCAGCCGGTCAACTTGATCCCATTCAATATTTAATTAATATTTTGCCCTAATTATAGTGTTGAAAAGGACAAAATACAGCCAATCACTGGGTAGTACTAAAAGCAGGCGGTGCTGCTTGTAGTTGGTTTGTGCAGTCCAACAGGTGATTTTAAGTGTGTATCAACACCATGTTTGCTACTGGCACCATGTATTTCTTACTTTGTATTCGTTGGGTCATCAAAAATGAATTCTTTTGAAGGGGTGCCATTGAAATTCTCCTAACATTTCTCATTTAGATCTGACCAATGTCCGGCCGAGTTTTCAGAAGATTGACGAAAATCTTATTGACTGGAGCCGCTTTAACCGCCACCATCTCTAGTGTCTGTGTCGGTACTGACACCACAGGCTCGTTCCATCATGTGCTTGCAGTATCGTGTCCGCTGAAAGACTCTCTTAGGTCCCATGTAACACCATGGGACTACAGTTGGGACAGTCGGCAGAATAGCGAATCAGATAATTCCAGCATATCACTGAAGCCGAAAGCCAGTCGTCATATCCTTCTCGTGCGTCATGGCCAATACCACTACGCAGAAAACGACTCTGAATGTCATCTAACCAATTTGGGACGTCAGCAACTGGACCTCACCGGGCGGCGGTTACGACAGCTCAACTTTCCCTACACTCGTATCTTCTACTCAACAATGACGCGCGCTATCGAATCAACTGACGAGATAATCAAGCACCTCCCGGGAGTTCCCGCAACTCCTTGCGACCTTATTCGAGAGGGCGCCCCCTTCCCCCCAGAACCGGCGGTCTTCAACTGGCCACCGGAAGGGAACGTGGCCTTCGAAGAGGATGGGCCGCGGATAGAGACCGCCTTCACAAACTACATACACAGGGCGGAACCCACCCAAAGTGAGGATTCCTATGAGATTTTAGTCTGCCACGGTAACGTTATTCGCTATTTCGTGTGTCGGGCGCTTCAGCTGCCGCCAGAGGCATGGATCCGAATGTCACTGGATCACGGGAGTCTCACTTGGCTTACCATTCGTCCTACCGGTACCGTATCACTTAGGTGGCTTGGTAACTCAGGCCATATGCCACCCGACAAGCTTAGTCTCAGCTAAAGCAGCACCGCAATCTGCCCCTCCTACTCCAACCTTGCCATTGATTCGATTACATGCTTGTAGCGATTTTTATAGATTGACGTCAAGGTTGCCTGTTTTTTGGGCCGGCTTTGAAAAGCAGATTCAGTTTGGGGATGCGGGACTTTGAAAGAATGCAGCATTGATTGAATAGTACATCATAACCAACAGGCTTGACTAAAGCCAATGAAAAGTCAAAGTGAATTTGAAATAGTATGATTTCGCCCAGTTTTGTACAATTATCGAGGGCTACGGGCTTGAGAAGGTGGGTAGTTACTTCCCGGGAATTTCTTTTGCCTTTTGAGTATCTTCAACGTTGGTGATTCTGGCTGTATTGCGCTCAGGATTGCGGAATTTAGCGAAATTTTCCCAGGGAGTCTTGAAATCAAATTTCCGGTATTCCTGCGCTAATTCAATTGGTTCGATGACGACGCGCCTTAATTCTTCATCATAGCGCATCTGCAAAACGTAAGAATCTAAAGATAATCTTGGGTGAGTAATTACAAAGCAATTGGTAACTAGGATGAGAAACATCTAGTTTAAGCTGCTAGACTTCGAATGGGCACGGTTATTAGGTGCTGGGGTGGGGTTCGTCTGGGAGGTTTACACATCGTCTGTCTTAGTGCATTGAACCAAAAGGAGGGGGAGACTCGTTGAAGTATGTGGCAAAGCATAAGTACGGGGTAGCTGTTCGTAACGGTCGAACAGAAAAAAAAGCAAAGTGGGATGAGAACCCAAAGTGCGCATGAACTACCTCTGTGTAGCCACTAAGAGGGAAGTCCTTGCGCTGAGGATGACCCTGGAAGCCATAGTCGGTGAGAATGCGGCGGAGATCAGGGTGGTCGGAGAAGAATACGCCGTACATGTCCCATACTTCCCGCTCGTACCAGTTGGCAGCTTGATACAGATCGCAGATGGAGCTAATCGGTGTCAGTTCGTCCGCGTAGGTACGGACACGAACTCTGGAGTTGTAACGCAAGGAAAGGAGATTATAAACGACCTCGAAACGATACGATCGCGCCGGAACATCCATTGCTGTTATATCAACCAGAGCATTAAATTGGGCATTGTGGTTGTTGCGCAGAAACGACAAAACAGGGATGATGCCATCTGGGTGGATAAAAATATCAAGTTCTCTCAAATGACTAACTTCGACCTTCTGAACGAACTTTGGGATGGATTCCGCAACATAAGTGCCGAATTTTGACAATTTTTCCAAATGCGGATCGACTGCTAGACAAATGCTAAGTCGGTTTTGAGTAATTACCCTTATTTTCAGTCTCGGTGAGTCCACGGGCAGGATTTTTCAAAATCCCAGCGACACTCAAAGGCTTTACTAAGTCTACAAAATATGCATTGGCCCTTTACCAGTGCTTTACTTGAGAACACCGACACCGAAAATCGACAAAGCGCACTCATTACGACAGACCCCCGCTATTTGAAGCACCAACACGGCACGTTGAACCGAAAATGAGAAAAAGCTGAATGGCATTTATGGGTTATACAGCCGAGGTCGGCAGCTCTTAGCGAATGCAAAAAGAGTGTGGATGACCAAATGTGAAAGTACTTAATTTGATTCTGCAGTATCTACATTTGGACAATGTAAATTAGACACATGCTTTACTAAATAATAACGCTTATTCATTTTGTCAATAATTACCTACAACGCCGAATTTAAGCGCAGCATAAGTGTTTTTGCGCTTATTGAAGTGTTGACCCCATTGCTTAATTAATAGCTGCCACATATTATACAGACAGTAATTTGATTTTGTTGCAGGATTACACTTTTTTTGCAATAAAGACTGGTAGCTCACCACCTATTTTAACTTTGTTGCACATAATTCTAGTATTACTAACCAATCCCATTGACCTTCCGCTTATTCTGAAGTAAACCAATTGTAAGCGAGGCTGATTATCTTGCGTTACTTGTGTTCGTCTGCGTGGCGCCGTATTTCTTCGCGGCCAATGTTGTTAGACAACGATGCTGTTAGTTTTTTGTTCTAACTCATCTTCGTAGTTTTTGTCCGCACTTACTAAGATGCTTGCGGAGTCAAAGTCTGGGAAGTCATTATTTATCACAATGAAACGACGTAAGTGCTATGTTGCCGATGTTAGTGTTATTACACCCCAGATATGTGCTTTATTTCGTGGCTTGTGTCTTAAATAAGACTATTTTTGACACGTCCATAGCAACTGGTGGCTCTTAGCATCGATTTTACATTTTTCTAAGTTTATTTACTTGCTTCACCATGAATTGAATGAACTCCCGTTTATGTGATTTGCTCTAGATTTCTGCTGGGATTATTAACAAGAGCGCACATAGTGAGAACGAAACGTGGTTTACCCTATTGAGCTTACTGACAGATGCACTGAATTTCAGATGATGGAAGAACAAAACCTATTCCAAGAAAGAAAGGTAATCAAGTACCAAGGGCGTCAACCAGCGGTGAAAATTGTTGCCTAATGCGAGTAACCTTGGGAAGCAAGAAAATTAGTACTCTGGTATGTTTGAAAGTTTCTAAAATATAAACTACACTGGCTGGACTTCTGCTTGGGATCTCGTTTAGCTTCACGTCACTTCATTGCGAAACCTCACTTTGGATGAGGTGATGAGTGCCTATTGAACTACATGCGAGAAAACAAATTACACTACTTCCAAAATATGTTCCCCTCATGCTTACGGCAGCCGATTTTTTTAGTAAACCTGGATAAGGGTTTTCGTAACCAGTAGTTATTTTTGCTTCATTGCAATAACCTCTAATTTTCGGTTGATCGGTTAAAACAGATTTACCAGAGGGACATGAATCGGTTCAATCAGGCTTACGCGAATGTTATTAAGGCAAACATCGACGGATTGAAGAAGCGAGACAAGCGCTCTGGTGGAGCGGCGGCTACGGTCGCATCATCGAAGACTATAATTTCTTCCAAGGTCGCCTCTAGTAGCCCTCGCACGCCTTCTGCGGATGTGTGATACTCCTTTCTTTCCGCGTATACGTAAAATCTTAGTTGCCATTGTGATTTTCTCCGGTTTCCCCTCACTTGGACTCATTTTCCTTTGAGGAATATCAACGTGCAATTTTTGGATTACGCATTAAATCGTGGGATGGGTTTTGTTTCTTTGTGGCCCTGGTCCTTATTACCACACGATAACCTGTAATGGCTAGTCCCGACAGTCTTCCGCTTACCAAATTTTTGGCAAATTTGGGGCAGCGATGGTTGAGGTAGGTACTCGGGTTGGTACTGTACGATCATGACCACTTGGGTTTGAATGAGAATTGGATTGGGGTAGTAAAAGGCGCTAGGTGCCCCCGTGCAGGTTGATGTGTCTCTAAAAGAGGCTACCATTCTATCCCTCTACCATTAATCAGATTCAGGAATTATCCACCGGTTTTGAGGGGCACCAAGTCAGGCTATCTGTTGACCCTGACATAATGGCAATACTTTGCATGTACACGGACTAATTAGAGCTTTAATAAGGTTGATATGGGTGGAGCAAACTATTTGGTTCAACGCAGGTAATTGCTGAACAATTTGATCGTTTTTTTGGATTCTCATTACGCCATATCAAAGTGGACGCTTTACTTTAGAATTGAATCGTGGCTGGAGAACCATAGGCAAGGATGGAAGATCATGCTGCAGTACGAAAGCACATCCAAGAAACTCATAGTTCAGGTCGTCAATTTTCTAATGCGATGCAGCCTTCTGATTGTGCAGCTAACTTCGCAGACGCCTTAATCTACGCTGGCCGCAATTCTGTCCCACGACACGACCCGTAAGTCTTTTAAATATCCCCTATGGATTCTATGCATCAATACATATGCGCTTACATAAAACTGTTTTTATGTAAACTCAGAGAACTCTGGGATGTCTCACTATAAAAAATTGCTTTTAGACAAAAAACATAATACAAGCAAGTTGGCATTTTAGGTGGAGATAATGAGCAGTCTAGGTTTCGAAAGTGTTGACATTAAGGGTATAGAAACAAGCCAGGCACGTAAATCCCCTTTATTGTCTACCTCTTAATATTGTATAGATTTACAAAATATACCTTTTGCGTTTGATCAGTAATATAAAGTCGAAAGCTTTACTTTGTTAATACTGACGGATGTTTTCGCGCGTCCACTTTGACCGTTGCTGTCGGGCAGCTTGGTTTCATAGTGTTCGGAGCCCTTTCTCCCTATTCTTTAGTATGGAAGAAGCTGATTATTATACAGTACTAGAAGTTGACCGAAGTGCTGATGGTGAATCCATCAAGAAGGCATATAGGAAATTAGCTCTGAAGTGGCATCCCGATAAGAACCCGGACAACAAAGAGGAGGCTGAAAGACAGTTTAAACTGGTAAGCGAAGCCTACGAGGTGCTCTCAGATCCACAAAAACGTGTGATTTATGACAATTATGGTAAAGAAGGGCTTACCAATGGAGGCGCCGGTCCGAGCGACTTCTCTGGCTTCGGCGGTTTCTCGTTTCATTTCAGGGATCCCATGGAGATATTCGCTCAAGTCTTTGGACCTTCATTATTTGATGTTTTTGGACCCAACTTTGTTACACCTGGAGCTGCGCGAACTCATCGCTCTCACGCAAGTTCTCGTGTTCATCGGCGTCAAAATCCTTATGAACAAAATCGTCGTACTACTTCATCGGTTCACGACCCAAGAGACGTCATGTTACCCACGGGATTTGGTGGTGGTTTCTTCGACGATATTTTTGGGGGACTTCTGGGCGGCTTTGGTGGAATGAGTGGGTTTTCTTCAATGTCTTCATTTAGTAACGGTAGACCAGGAGGTGGAATGGCCAGATCGATGTCTTCCTCAACTCGTATTGTCAACGGTCAGGTTGTCAACACTACAACAGTTCGTGAAAACAACGTTGAAACGATCACAGAAACGGTGGATGGGCGTGTCGTACGGACAGAAACAAGGCCATGCCACAACAACTCTTCATCTATTTACTTGAGTTTCTGAGCTTCATTCCACTAGTTGGTCATTTATTGTACAGCGGTAAAAACCGACGTATCTGCTATCCTATGACTTTTTGCTTTTATTCATTTAAGTTGTTTCATGAAAAGGAATTTCGTTTTGTGTGGGGTAATACATACGTGCTAGTTGTCGCTGCTAGTCTCTTACGATTTTATTTGTTTTTATTGACACAAAGCACTAATGGCTTGTGCTTAGGTGATTTCCGATGTGATGTTTACACTATCGTTTTCCTCTGGGCATGTATCCTTTACACTATTTCAAGGTCACGCCCGCGGTGGCTAGCGTTGAGTTGGATTTGGCGCATTTAAGTTGAGTTCACAGATTGTGTTGTTGATGTCTGGGTGTAACGTCGATTGTGTGACTATGTCCAAGCATGCATATAATCGCCCTCGTCGATTTGCCTCATTGAAGTTGCTTTTATGTTATTTAGCCGTCCGCATAGTGCGACGTAGTGATGCGGGGTTGGTTCGTTACCACTTATTATGAAATCATTGGTGGGGCGGGGTAGGGTGTTCGGTGCTTGGTCGTTCTGAAGGTTTGTACTTTGTTTTGTGAGTGGTCGGTAAGAGTGCGCAGTTCGCGCTCTGGCTATGGCGGAAATTGAGCGAGGCGCACTTTTTTAAATGACCTGAAAATGGAAAACGGTTTGGGTGTGCGTCACAATGTTGCTGTTTTGAAAAGAACGAGAACATTGGGGCATGAAGTCGTCATGGTGCTGTTGCAGGTGTGTCCAGTCTACGCCTTGATCATGATGTAGGTGACTCCATCATGGAGTTTGCGATTCACCAAGTTCTTTGCTCAACACTATCGCCTTTCGATTCAGTTTGCAGATGATTACAGAATTTAGAATCGTGGGGATTATCGATAGAGTTTGGACATGATGATGTGTGTTGGTCCATATTTCTAGTTGGGTTGGGTTTCTATGCTGAGAAGAAATCTCAACAGTCCATTTCGGTGTGGGAGAAGGCTTGTAACACTCGAGAGTTCTAAAGGGCCATAGATGGGGACTGAAGACTGTGGTTAAATACGTGATTTTTACGGATATCTTCTGTCACCTTGCATTTGTTTTGTTTTGAAGGACGCTCCCGTGTTTACTTTGGTTATTCTTGTTTCAGCCGTTTCATCGCAGTTGGTGCTGTAAAAACCACCCACGAGTCAGAAGCAGTGTTCATCCTTTGACTCGTCATATAGTTGAGAGGATATCTGATTTTGGCTGTATTAATGGAGCCATAATTTCATCCTCTTGATGAATTGTATTGTGAGGATGGACTGGATTTGCACTGCTCAAAGCTAGATAATATTCTCCAGCAAGTGTATTTCGCCATTTGTCAAGGCATTTGTCCACTTTACCCTCATCTCAATACTGCTCAACCGTATTCCCAAATCCCATTCAGCTACTAGGATCTCGGAGGCATGGTAACTTATTGCCGTAGCATCTATTTTTAACAGAATCCAGTCACCCATAGTATGGCCTGCTTCTGTGCCGTTTATATTTGATGCCTAGTATAGATTCTACGATATCTCTTCGTCTTGATCGGGTTCGTTTGCCGTACAGAAGGGCTGAGGGGCTATTGCAACGGTGGCGTTCACGAAGTACAATGAAAACAAATTTCATTTTGATAAGCCCTTTTCATTAGTAAACTATCGAAATTCTAGGTAGGGATAAAAGTAGCCTATTTAGATTCAGGAGAGATCTTTAATAGTCGAGAAATACAAGCATCAGTGGTCAATACTTCTTCTTAGGTATAATGAAACGGGTGAGCCTAAGATCACAGTCGGTGATAGAGCAGCGACGAACCATGTGCGAAGGTCGCCACGTTATAGGCCAGCGTGATCATTATCCGAAATGAACTATTAAACAGACTAAAGTGCCGTTTTGCAAGCCAAAATAAGTCCATTTATAATGCCTTCAATAAGACAAGCTTTCGACGCTTACTTGTCGTGATTTGCTGCCAACTTAAGTCCCGTATTTCATCACCTCGTGAAAACATAATAAGTGTGGAAGTTGTTCGAAATTGCACGTGTCGAAACAAACTCTAGAAATTCTTTTTAACGCATTTGTTGCAAATAAGGTACTCTCCGGTTTCTACAAAGGTAAGAGATCATGGAGAATTTTGAATGAACAAAGTAGATTAATAAATATGAGATTCTCCCCTACAGCTGTGCACTTATTAATCCTTCAATGGCCATTATATTTTTTCAAGTGTCAAAATTATTATTAATGTTTAAGAGCCTATGACTCATTCTCTTCCAGCAAAAGCCCTCATTAGTCATTTGTATTACTATCACAGCGAGCATAATCAGAAATAAGGAACTTGCATTCCACATTTAGCAAATTGTAGCGCACTAGATTTTGCACAATGACCTAACTAGAGTTTATACCTCCTTCAAAGCGGAAGAAATGTGCTAAACTCTAAATAGAGATAGGCATGCTTTAAAAACTCAAAATAGCATAATATTCATTGCATAGGCAACCAGTGTGCTTTATCCAAGACATAAGCTAGTTTAGTTTTAAAAGTTGCCCTGTTTTACGAAGCGAACACAGTCGCATTACCCTGCTGCAAGAGGGAATGATGAGTTTATTCATTTGCAGTGGAATGTTTTCTTTGCTAATGTTCTTCACTAACTAATCACGCGGCAATCATGCAATGGTGGTGGAGATGCAGGATCCTTTTCGGTTACTGGGTATGAAACAAATGCTTCCAAAATGACATTTTCTTCAATTGTGTTAAAATAAAATCATTAGTGAAAATGTAAGTCTAAATAACCGTCATTATTCCGTCATGGCAATGAAAGTTTGAGTAAGCCCTTTGGAAACGAGATAATCCCAAGAGTAGATGGATGCTTTTTTACTAATTGTTGGGGATTAAATATTTGCTACAAATTACAAGAAGAGGTAGTCACTATTCCGCGGGTTGTGTTTATATGTTCAGCTATGATAAGGGGTTATTTTGCATGCACCAACTTTACTTCTCTGCTGATAAAACATCAAAGAATGCTTAACCACAAATCTTTTATCCCACAATCTCTACCATGCAGCTTAATTAGGTAGGAATAGCAAAAGATTCAAGTTTTGGCCAGTTTGTGCGTAGCTGGGATCGCTGCTGCTTTCGCTAAAGTTCTCCACTATTCATCTCAGCGCAGTTCGTGTTCCCAATGTAAATAGTTCATTCAGACAAAAAATTAACCTAAGTAGACTAATTTCTTGTTTAGTTAATTGCATTACCTTCATATGACACCTTCAAATCAACATTTTTGGGGCTGGGGTGGCTATAGATTAGAATGATACAAATTATTACTCATTTAGGGTTTTTTATAAAATCTGTCTGTAAAGAGTAAACGAAAAAGCTCACTTAAAGCCCCAAATGTGTATTTGAAAAGTTATGATTTATCTTCATGTTACAAAACTGAAGCGTTGGAGTAATTGAATTCCAAATTAATTGCACAAGAAAGAAAACATTATGTGCTTAACTGCCTGGTTAATTACTCGTGATATCACTTGGATGGGAATTCTAGCAATCGCTAATCCTAGTTTTGCTTAATGCACAAATACAGAGCTGAGTAATTCCATTAGGGAACTGAAACTGCTTTCAGGATTAGTACATACATTGGACGCATACAAATTTAGTTCCTGTAATTATGTTGTTACAAACTCCTACCCTATCCAATGAAAGAACGAATTTGTTTTTCTCCTTTCATGCAGTGCACATAAGTGTTGAAGGGAAATAGAGGCGGAAAACGGAACTTACATCATAAATAGTACTTATTGTACTGAGACTTGCGAAGACTGTGTTTATATTTTGAAGTACGCAAAACACAAACCTAGTATTTCAGTCGAAATACCGCTAACAATTAAGCTACATCCATAGGCCATTCAAACTTTATTGAGCTTTAATGGCACTGCAATTACCATTTAAAATCATCCCTGCAGTGCAGCAGAGGTGGGGCTCTTGCACCACCTTCTGGGTATGTAAAAATGCTCCGATGTTGGAATTTTGGCTTCTTCCTCAAGGTGGTCTCGAAAAATAGGACCTAATATCCGAAAGATAAAATAAACCGGATGTACCAGTTGTACTGAATGGAATTACATCCACTTACAACAGCTACAAAAGTACACAAATATTCATAGTGACGGTTTCAGCATAAATGAAGTATTTATTATAAATGCCGAGATAGTTTAGGTGATTATAGTCATATCAGGTGCAGATGCAAATGGATGCCTCCTTGGGGAGATAATGTGCAAAGCCGATAAGCACGTTGGGGTATAATCAACTAGGACCTTCCTTTTCTTCCATGTCAGCACATAGATATGCATCAGCCTCAGAAAGCAATGGAGATTCGATGCTCTCAAAGTCAAGTGTTCCAAACGGAGTAGGATGGTCTTCTGTATTACCGAAGGTGCGTATAGAACTTCCCAAGATCTTAGAAGCATCAAGAGCTCCACTAGACCTCCTTTTTTTCACCACGTTGCTTTTGTCCAGTGGACCTAATAGTGTTGCTACTACACAGCCCTAGAATAAGAAGAAATGGTGAAAACAGTAGCGGAATTAAAAATGTGTTTTTCGACTAACTAGGTAGTTGAATAAACCCTGATTTGATTCAAAGGTTATTCATTTCAGTTATTTGTAAACAAATTGATGCCATGAATCAAAATTTCAAGATTTTTTTTCAATTAGAAGCTATACAATAAAACTCTAAGTACGATAATTATCGCAAATGTTTTAACAATGGGTAAATTAGCATTAAAAAGTTATCTAACAATTTGACAGTCATCCAAATTGGCACCAGCTCTTACAGGAAGATAGGCTTTTCATGGGATCACACAAGGGATTGTTAAAATGTGAAAATACGTGAATGTGTGACGAATAGAGTTTTCGATTGCTTAGGGTAAGGGGGGGGGGGGGGAAGTTAGTGAGAGAACATTTTAGAATTATGGTCAATTAAAAATTCTAGGGATTACTGACTGAAGAAAGCGTGGCATCTCCAGACAGCTCTGAAGACGAAAGAAGACAATACTTGAGCGGAATATGTATACTCAACATACAGTAGGGGTTGGAGCTACTGGCACGGCCCAGTGGCCAGCCAACTTAGCAAAGGTACAATGGCCAAGACACCAATTGACCCTTTACCAAAACCAGAGGGTTAAACAACCAACGTATTGCAAAAGTGTATGTGAATTCGCGTTGTCTGCAATATCTATTATCTCTACCTTTTCGTCTTACTCAAATGAAAGCACTGTGAAAATTGGGGCTTTGAGTCCTTCATTATTCAGTGCCAGTCAATCTCTTTAAAGAATCTTGAAGTGATCCTCCAAACGGCATTTTCATGTATTTTTCACATTGATGTCACCATAGGAGGAAAAGTTTCGATAAATTTAGCAGCTACTGCAAAAAGAATTACTGCATTTTCTTACATTTTCATTAACAAAATGTAGAAATAGTTTTTAACCATTATAAACTAGCAAAACAAGACTGCTGGTTTTATTCCTATTTTTCTACATGTGTGATATGGTGCTATTTCGCATAGATAAACTCAGCCCATTCATTAAAATAAAAAAACCCTTTTTATAAAATCGACTTAAGTGAAATACTGATTTATTTATTTATGTGGCCTACAAAGAAAATATGTCACGTTACTTATAACACTTTGATGGAAACCAGTAAAAATGCCAATCTCATTTAGCACAAATTTTATTTCCTTAAAATAATATGCTCAAATAGTCGTCGTTACAGATTTTTTACCACAACTATTATTTTCAAGAGCTAATAAAAATATTCTAAAGCGAGAGTTTTCATAATAACAAATCGGAGTACTGGATTGTCTTTAAAAACCAATATATTTTCAAACTACCCGAGCCAAAAAAGTTGCATTATGTAAAGTCAAGTAATGCCTTATGTATTTTGCATTATATAACATACATGAATATTAATATTAAAAACTCTTATAAAATTTCATTTTTATCAAGTATTTATTAACTAAGAACAAATGCCTGCCTCATTCGCATAGGCCTAACGCTACTGTTGTAAAAGAAAACGGCAAACTTAATCAGAGCACCGGTAAAATAATTAGGATGCATCACAAGGACTTACGGTTAAGGCATTCAATGCCCAGAAGATGAAGCCCTCATAAAGGGGATTTAGGTAAATGAATACTAACGCCAGTCCGTAGATTATGCTACTGTAGACCGAGGCGACTGTGGCTGTACGCACATCATTCCTAAAATTGTTACAAAACCCATGAAACTGAACCTCAAAATATTAAAAATCTCGATGAACAAGAGGGTTCTAACTTGATCTTACCCGAAAATCCCAATAGGATTGATAACCAAGAGCATTTAGTTACTAATAGCTCATGCTACCGTAGTTTTGTATGCCAAATTAAGCTGTTAAACAAGAAGTAAAATGCAAAGAATCTGTTTCCTTAAACTTGGAGAGGTCTGCAGTTTTAGTTACACCGTAAATGGATTAACCCGGAGGCGTTTAAGTAATGTTTGGTGGAGGTTAAATGCATCCAAGCAGTCTCTAGCGTTACTTACCGTAAAGCTTCGATCACCCGTGGACTTAGGTATGCAGGTGCATCGATGTTGCATAGAAGAATGATGCAAGAGACAAGTGATACAAATAAGAAAATTGTAGATTCTGCGGTAGCGATGTAACCAGAAATGCCCGTAGGCAGACACATAAGTCCCATCCCATATTCACTTGCAGAAGTAGCGCAGACTGTGACGATCAAGATCACTGCATTTGCTATCCAGCCGATGAAGACAAACGACTTAAAACGCGCTTTTAATTTTCCATTGATTAGGGCATTAAAAATGTAAAAGTTGTTACAGCATTGCCATGCAAGGACAGTGCTCGAGGAAAAATGCTCTAGCGATCCAATGGTTCGACAGGCTATTTCAGTTTCTTCCATTAGGGGAAAGAGCATATAGCAAATGTGATAGCAAACCAAAGCCGCGATTAAATTGAGTTTAATTTTGTTATGATCTCGCAGTTCTGGAAGTGTATTTTTGCGGCATAAGTAGACAATGAGTGCTGTTAGAGCAATAATTGACAATGAATTTCCAGCCAAGTTGATCACCAACTTAGCTATTTGATAGGACTGCAAACTGATTGATCCAGCTTTTTCCCAAAAGGATTCGTCATTTTCAGTGTACCTCATAGCAACGGCAAGGGATCCAGTCCTATTACACCGGCAGACCACACTAAGTAAATGAGCTTCCGCAATATCACAGTGATTAGCCGTCCAGCCCTTCGCACCAACATCAGTATCGTCCCAGAATACACACTTTACAGCATATTCCATTGCACCATGTCCCTTCTTCTCTACTAGGCGTGCCTTCCAATGCAGAGCATCAGTTCGCCGAGCTATTGCTCTTTCAGAGTACTCATTAGGTTGAATAAGAGCAAGAGTATACAGAAACACTATTCCTGATCCGCCTTGATCGTTGGTATTTGATATCAGAGAAGTTGTCATTATGGGAGAATTAATTAATGCTGATATAACTTCCGATTTATTTACATCATCTTTTAAAGAAGAAACATCTTCCGTCCACGCGAACTCCTTAGGCACTGATAGCACATCCATTATTACTTCAGGAATAGATGAACTTAGTATAGAAATAGTAAAGGTTCTGTTTGATGGCTTGGATATTGTTTGTCCGCCAAGAGATGAGATGATTACTTTAAATGGTTCCTCTCCGTCTGAGTGAGATAGATTAGTGGGTCCTGAGAAGCTGGCTAAATAGTTCCTTCCAAGACTGGTCTCAATTACTGGTCGTTCATTAGTCAGCAAAACTTCCAACATAGCTGCCAGCATAGCAACAATCTCAGGCGGTTTTGATGAATAGCTTTCACGAAGTTTTAACCATGTTTTGGCGAAACGAGTCGAAAACAATGCTTCCAAATACTCTAGGAGGAAGACTAAAATTTCATCGGTTTTAGAACGAAGACTCTCTATTTCAAATGCAGTGGCTTCCTCGACGACGCTCAACCGATCGTATAGGACAACTGATGACCACAGGAGTCTTGTTTCATAATCCGAATCGTATTTTCTGGAATCGTTTTTAAGGAGCACTAATATGACTTTGAGAAGGGAATACAGGGCTTTTGGGGAAGAAATTAGCCGAGCACCTCTAGCCATAGCGTATATATTTTCCTGACAAGAAAAACGTTTGTATATAGGTAGTGTTATTTTTTTTCAAAAACTACAATCAACTCAAAGAACTGAGCTTACCACACTGGTGTCAAGACAAACGCCGTTTTGAGAGAGTTGACAATTTGAAGCTTCTTGACATGTCGTCGTCTCTGGGAGGGTCTCATTAAAAACGCAATCCCCCATGAGAGTCATGTAGCTTGAACGTGGAGTCCCACATGAAGCGACCCGTTTTAACCAAAAGACTAAAAATTAACTTCCCACTTATCATCAGCGTTACAAAAATACAAATTCCCTAGACTGTCAGATAGTTATTTGTAAAATTTTTATAATATCTTTGGTGATAAAGACTTATTGTTTCTAGACTTACCAAGCATGCTAATGGTCCCAGAAGCGATTGGTACGGCAGACATGTTGGCCATCGTGGTGATGGCAGAGCCAAGGTATAATCCAGAACTAGGATTAATGCGGTAGCATTTAGAAGAAACTCGCGAAATCGGGGAACTCGTTGTCATCAGGGCATGACCGTTTTTGTAGACCTCCACGTAGACCCCTGCTGAGGTTTTCGCTCCACCTACGACAACTCCAACATTGAGCCATTCATCGCTTTTTCCAAACTCCGTGGCAAAGACCTGATAGATGGAATCAGAAGTGACGAGTCGCACAAGCAGATGGTAAACACTTGATTTTGGTATATACTGGACGGAAATGGAAAAGCCTTGGTAGGTGTTCGGACCAGTCGACAGTACCATGTAATCCTTCTGAAAACAAAGGTCACAGCTTTAACTTTACGAAAAGTCTAATAACTATTCATTAAAAGAAACCGCCTATTGGCTTTAAAATAAAGCTGTACCATGTTATATCAGTTTGCAGTCTAAAAATGGAAAAATATCAGCGCTTTGTGCTATAGACTACAGAGGAGCCTCTTAAGCACATATTTAGAAAAAAAGCCAAGTAAACTTTTAAATAAAACAGCTTTGAAAGGCACTAATCTTCAGCTAATGAGAGAAGCTCAAACTTATTCAATAAAAATTAAACTTGTGCTCAATCACATTGCAGTAGAATAGGTATCAAAGGACTGATACAAAAAACTTTATTTGAAAATGTCTTGGAAAAAGAAGAGCATTAAGTTAAATGCCGTGAAATAATGACACATGGTTAGTGCCTCTTTGTCTTTTTAGCAATACAATTGAGGTCTTTACGCGATGTAAACCGCGTACCTCATGTGTTATTATTAGGTAAGTAAAGGTAATACAATCCCCTAGAATTCACATACGACAATAATATTTAAAAGAAAACCTACCACAGAGGAGGCATCCACATAAACGTTCCTGATATTCATCCAAAATGATAACGTAAATTCAGAACATAGGGTCATAAATTTTCTGAGGCAGTTGAGCAGTTTTTTATTCATCACTCGAATAGTAAAGGAGCTAAAATCAGTAGCTTTTTTTGCTCGCCCCAGTCTATCAGGCTGTTCTCCTTCCAAGGGAAAGATAACATCAGACCCAGAGTAGCAAGCATCGTTAAGATCGGGATCTTCTGGTACCACTTGCACGGCATCTTCAATGATAACCACATCAGAAACACATAAATTGACTTCGGGACCGATTAGAATTTTTGGAAACGATCCCAGTTCAAATGAGGGTGACTTTGATTCTTCGCTGCTGCATAAAGAGTGACTTTGTACGGATACAATTTCTTCATTTATGCGCAGCCTAATATCGTGCTCAGAGACGAAGGCTTGAAGATTAGTCCAGCCATCAAATGCGTTTGTTACAGAACTTAGGTTTGCAGAAAGGGTGCATTTTAATTCTAGTGTGCGATGTGTCACCGTTAAGGTTTCCTTTATTGGATTGACCGAGATCTCGATACCCACAGCGCCACCTTCTGTAGGCGTTTTGAGTATAATTGACTCCCGATTTTCCATTTTCAACTCACCATTCAATCGAAAATCGACGACAAGGAGAAGCCCATGGCATTGATTAATATTGTAAAGGCAGGAGTAGTAAAGGTTTGAATAATTTCCCCCTGGTCTATAGTCACCAGTAAGGAGTATGTATGATCCTTCTGTGTCTCCTGTGCACATTGCGCCTCCTTCGACATTTCTTTTGTCCTTAGCTCTTTCAACACCTGAAGTGATTATTCGACTAGGCGCAAGGTTTGCAAATAGACCAGACATTGGCCAATAAAAAGTCGCCCTTGCAAAGTAGTTCCTCTGTGTTCTTGACAGACCCATAAAAGCACCAATGTTTAATTCGGAGTCAATACAAGTATCCCAGATGTTTATGATACTCACAGCCAGTCGGTAACCAAAGCCTTGTTGTGAGGGCCCTATTACAACAAGATAAGCAGGATTTGTTTCAGTTCTGTTAAAGATATCTTCCCCCATGCGTTTAAGTTCCGAGTTATTCATGCAGTTGGAGATGTGATTGCCGTTTAGGAAAAGGTGGATTTCGTTATAGAACCAGGAGATGGCCACGTGGAACCACCGATTATGGTGCGAAGTGATGGTTAAATCCTCTGAGGAGCCAGAACAGGCAGCATCATTCACCCATCCAGTAATCTGGTTTCCACCATCTGTCAGTGCAATACCCATTTCTCCTCCATTACCCGTTAGCAATATCAGTGGGGAAGTAAAATTAGTATGACCCATTCCATCAATATCGGAGATAAGAGAGTACCAGCCACCAATCGTGAATCCCTACAAGGTTTACGTAAACTCAGTGAAGAATTTATAAACCTGTGAAATAAATGATTATTGGCTAAATGCGAGCTCATTAAACAGATTCATTGATATCAAAATTCCTTTTTTTAAAAACTATCTAGTAGCCCGTAAGTTACTTCTAAGACTATACTGGTAGGAACCTAAACTGTGCAAGTAAAAACTTACCCCCGTCACCGAATTAATCTAGTTTTGGCCCCTAGCTTCGCTGTAATATACTATCCAAAGTAGTTTAGTATTAACGGTATAGGAAAGTAAAATTTAGAAGCAGTCTTAAATGCTCAGCCATATCAGAAAGGAATCTGAGGCTAATTCCAAATTCCACAGTTTTTAGAAATGGTTCTTTGAAGACTGTTTTATCGAGGATCATAAAAATACATTTCAGTCCTAGATGATAAATATTTATCACATAATCTAGAGTTAATGAACGTGATATTCTTAATCGTACGTCCGTTGAAATGTATCGCAAGTATTTGACCATGATATTTGAAAAGTTGAATTCTCAGTTGGGCTCCTAAAACAAACTTAAGTTGTTAAAGTTCAAAATGACGAGATTTCATCCTCCTAGTTATTTTAACAGAAAGTATATGAATTGTCCATTCAAATTACAAGGAAAGCGTTTTTGGAGCAAGTGAATGCAACCATTTTTATTTTTTTCCATTAAAGGCAAATGATCAGAATTATGAATTCGCCAAAAGTGCTTGTAAACCATATAGCTTGTCAGTTTATGAGAAGTTCCCACGTCAAACTGCTTCTTTGCTAAAGGCCTTTAATATTTTGCAAATTAGAAATTCCTCATATTACTAAACTGAAAATAATGCTAAATTTGCAGTGAATTTCAAATGTTTGATTGCCCAATCTGATTGGTGGAGCATAAATTGCTAAAATGAATTGCTTACATCCCTGCACTCAGACATACTTCCGGGACACCTGAATGGATCAAGTGGACCCAAACGCAGTAGAGTCATCTGACCCAAAATAACTGCTCTCCGGTCCTCTTCATACTGTACAGAAAATGTGCTTGCGTTATGCATTGCATATGGCCCAAACTGTCGAGGTATGTCCAACTGACTAGTCAACAGAAGATCAGGAATACTCGGGTCTGTCAGTCCAGGTCCGAACCAGAGCCACTTGCTGTTCTTTTGAATCATCTCATTGCCAAGAAAGCCAAAATTGCGTGCATATTCCTGTGAAGTCATGTACTTTTTAACATGGGTCATCTCGGAGAATGCGAAATGCGCCATTTCCCAGAACACTGGAATCCCCGATACTGAAGGATTACTACTATCAGTCTCCGCTTCAGCGGGTGTAAGCCAAGCGTTTAAGTCGTCTGTATCAAATCGACCAACAAGGAGGTATGGCGGTGCCGTATATTCCTTGTATCTTGTCTTCGGTTTCGTGGAGGGCATATTCAAATCAATGCCATTGACAAAGAGTTTTAGTCCAACAGTGGTGCTCCATGTGACTCCAAGATTCAACCACTGATCTGCAGTCAGCAAGTAGTTTAAGAGAATGGCTTATTTTAATGCGGTATTAACCAGGCCTATACTTCTTACCAAGATTATAAGTCTTTGAATCAAGAAGAAGAGTCCAGTCGCCAGCGCTTGTTGAAACTGATGCGCCAAGAAGTGCTCCGTGTGTGAAAATGGCCCACCCATGACCGTCCATGACAGTGGAAATGTCACGATTTCCGGCATCACCGGAGTTGAAAATATGGCGGATACGTGACTTGCTGACGGACTGTAGAGAGAACCAGATGGAAAGTGTGACACCTTGGACTCCACAGGACTGATTTGAAGGCTCATGAAGACAGTGGTCGAGCCACTGCAGATTAGCTTGACTCGGTAACTTGTGTTTCCGTCGGCCTATACAGAAATCGTTGATCGGTCGGTGAATAACACTAAATAACGCATCATAACTTTATGCATTTTTAAAAGAAAAGCGTATTGAACTTGCAATATCGGTATTACAACATTTAGGAAATCTTCCAAGCTTAACGCCACCAAAGCGGAGCAAAGGGAATTTAAGTAATTGAAATCAAATCTAAACTACTTATTATATGTATTGACCCAAATCATTAGGTGGATTTAAATTGGAACAAATCCTAGTTTTATTTTAGTATCTTGAATATTTATGCTTTTGGCGCTTAAGCAATGATAAATAATCCGTCTACCTATTCCACAAAATTATTCCTTAAATATTCATTTGATTTAACACGATACACTTTCAGTCTACTTACTTTTTCAATAACCACAAAATTATGTCCATATTAAACCTTCTCGAAGCCTGCTGATACGTTTAGGCCCTGATTTGATGAGCTGTGACATTGTGAATGTAGCAAAGAGGTTAAAAGTTTTACAAAAATACCGTTGTAGGTCTCACCAAGCATAAAATAATCATTTTTGCGCATTGATAGAATCGGAACGGGGCCCTTTCTGTCTTGATCCAGTATGTAGCGCACCGGTTGAACCCCCATGGGTTTGTAGATGGAGGCAAGTTTGTAGCCCGGAATAACCTCGTCGGATTTCGTGATCTGCTGTCGCTTTTTCTCAAAGCTTATTCGACACAGCGCGTCGTGAAGAATGTAGGCGTCTGTTGACCAATAGTTATCTGCATTTGACAACAGTTGCACCTGGGTAGCTAAAAAGCAGCTGCCCTTAAGAATGCTGTATATTTTTGAAGTAGTGACAATGGTAGAATGACTGATGGTTCACCTGTGTATCCGACGAAGCGATGGCCTTCGTGTAAAAGTGTAAGTCTATTCCAGTAGACCAAGTCGCCAATGGAAACACCATCAGCGCTACAGCTGACATCTCGACTGCCTAGAATGATGTCGCCTACATGTATTTCTTCATGTGTTTCCATTTCCTGGGGTTTTAGTGAAGCAAAGGCCATGGTTTGCACAGAAAGACCATTAATAAAACCTGCGGCCAAGTTGTTAGCATCTCCAGTAATCGAAAAACCCACGTTGAAGACTTCATCACGAACAACTGCCTCATTTATTCTAGTAATCTTCCAAGCCTTCCCATTGAAAACTATAATACAAAACCATAATGCAAGGTGGTCGTAAGTTTAATTAGTCTCGTGGTGGGAAAGGAAAACATTCACATGATATTTTCTCTATTTTTTAAGACTCAGGAGAGTTGCTACTGAATATGCACTTCACGCTCCCTAATGGGTAATGCCCCTTGTAGGAAGGAAACTACTATATCCCGGCTACGTAGTAGAGCCTCAATCTTTTAACATAAACAACGGTAAAAGCCAATAAAGCTTTATAAAAATAAATGCCAAAAAAATGAACGTTATACTGAAAACTATTAGTAATCAGCTTTGAGAAGTCACCTTTAGTCTTTGTGTGTCAAGACATTTTTACTTGAAAACTGCATAGGTGGCCGTATTTCATTGATAAAATGTGAAGTTGTGAATTCAATAACATAAAAATTAAACTTGTTTTAAAACACTCTTATCATTGTAAATCTTTTGAAATCCTCGTAAATATGTTTAGGAGGCTGGTACTGTAATTTGCATTTTATTTGGTGATTTATAAACTCAAATACATCGATAATGCGTCAAATACCGCGTACATTGGTCAAATTAGTTCGAGTTTTTCACCCGGTTGTTGAGTTGGTGCAAGTTAAATTACTTCGATGAATATGTATACTATTCTGCGATTCCTTTAAATTTTGAAGAATAAATAAATGATTTTCACAAATTGTAGAAATTTCTCTCTCAGGAATCCTCAATAAGCACAACTTGATTTCACATTATTCAAAGGCTGGTGTCTACTTAATAGCTGCTAACTTAAAACCATGATTGTGGTACGACCAGTGAAGTTTGATTGGTTTTATTCCAAGATGTCAACATCTTTTGGAAGCTCTAGGAAAGACCACGTTCTAATTACCAATTAGCTGGTGATTTAATCAAGAGCAAATTTCTCTCTAGTTTCTTTGCAGAAATTTTCAAAAAAATTAAATAGATAAAAAGGTCTTTGTATAAATAACCCCATTAAAACTACTGTGGCCCTAACCCAACGAGGATGCGGAACACTTGAAATGGCCTAATAATTTACTGATAACACTAATATTTTCCTTAAATTCGACTTCATTTAATTTGGAATCTATTTAGATAAAAGGAAATTCTGACAGTGCATATGTTTATCTTCCAACCACTAATTCAAGCGCAGAATTGTCTGCAGACTTTAACCAGGGACAGCGATGAAAACATTTTCAAAAATATTGTCATTTCTGAGCTTGGTTTTGCGTAAATTTAAATAAATGTGCCCATTTGACTAGTTTTCCATGTTTATTGTCAAATATTCCAACTCTTGCAACTTTTAGCTTAAAATCTGTGTTTAAGCTCCTCCTTTTTTCAATAAAATCGGCGGCGCTTTGCTACCGGACTCACCAAAAATATGGAGAAAGTCGCCAAATAGTGCAACTTTAATGTTTCCAGCAATTTCGAAAAGAGACTTGGGCTTTTCTTTTGCGGTGAGCGTAGAAGGCACGGTTATCCACGCTCCGATTGAGAAACCACTTTGACACATCAAAAAACTACTGGGACATGTCTTTTCAACGCTACCCTTTAACTGAAAATAGTTAAATAATTAATAATTTTTGAAAGGATGAGGAAGTTTGAACTCGAATACTATATCCATACTTAAGGTTATGAGGTAAATAATCCTGAATCAAGCAATATTTAGGAAAAGATTATGTATGTGGATCACGTGGGCCTTGATTTTAAGCACGTATGTCTTAAGTTAGGTCATCGATGTCGAAGTCGCACATACTTTTCGTGTCAATAGCTCTCAGCGCCCATAGAAAGCAAATAGTACATTCACAGGACTGCAGATCGTAAGTACGATGGGTAGAATTTCACTCCGTTTATAAAGCATTAATTCATGAACATGAAATATATACCAAGCTCAGTGATAGTAAAACATGATAGGTGTATTGATTGTAAGTTAAGGGTAAAAATCGTGAACTGGAAAGTTGTGTAAGTTAGCTTTTTACCAGAGAATATAAAATGGGCCCTTTAACATTTCCTTATATCTACCATGTTAGTTTACCCTAAGAGGTAAAATTTTCATCACTTCTCTATTTTGAATTTGACCTCCGCTTACTCTGTAATAAGCATTAATGGACTTAAGTCTGTAAGAACTGCGACCACGGCAATTGCCATGATTTAGCTCGATATCGCGAAATCCAGTTTTGCTTCTTGGTTCCGTGTTCAACTCAAAGAATCCATCAGCAGTTATGTAGTAGGGGTTCGTGGGCAGCTGCGACCAATTTTTCGGCTGATACTCATCAACCAGCCTCGTATAATCCAACATATAGTCAATGGACGGAGATGGAGTTGGTATGGGGGAGGGTAATGCCTCAAATCGATCAGCTAAAACAAATGGCACTTTTCATCAACAAAAACGAGCAAAAAAAGCAAGTTTACGTTTCAAGTACACTTGCTTTTAACAAGGGTAGCTGCGACTGTAGCAAAATTATAAGGAGTTTTTAAAAATTAAATTAAAGAATATCCTTTAAATCCCTTTTTATTGAATGGTTAAATTAAAATGAAATTAAAATAATTTTTTCAAGTCAATCAAAGTTTTTATTGGTACCTAATCATTTAAAGTTCTTTCCAAGTGTAACGACCCAATTTCCTTCTTTTTTAACACTTCTACTTATCTTTTTAATCCCTTGTTTTTGGAAAAGCACCCTTTAGATACAGTACATGCTCAGAATTGTTTTACAATTAAACACAAACATCAAAAGTTTTATCTGTTTCGACGTATCAAGTTTCATTAAAGATCATTCCGGCTGCCCCAACACTCGCCTTCGAATGCTGCAGAAAACGAAATGTTACCTGCCTACATTCCTCTCATTGCTCTTTGCCTCATTTGCAAAAATAAATACTTGTTTCGATGCAGATAATTAATTTACTACCAAACTAATGCGCACTATGATTTTACTCTAAAAGTCTTTCATTCTGTGCATAAGACCAAGAATCTGGCTTTTATTGAAATTACCATGATAGCCGTAGCAATTACAAAGGCATTGATTAATAGCATTTATCCATTAAATTAGTCTGGTAATATCTATGACCGTTAACAACAAAGGCATAAAATTAACAAGGAGGCATAACTTCATGATGCATCCTTTGTTTTCGTGCAAAATAAATGAGGGCAAATTCATCTCAGTTTAACGTCAAAATTTTGGGGAAATACTTGGTTTTTATGCAAATAAATGTGACCTTTGATCGCAACTCTCAAAATGCTAACAGAAGTAATGGGGGTAGGCAAAGCTAACTGAATTAACTAGGAATTGCCTTCTAACTCTTTCACTAAGATTATTTTACATTTGTGCCTGCATCGTAATGGTTAATAAAATTTAGCAATTTTCCAAAGCTTTTATATTGTTTCTTACTTTCTAGGTTTTACTAACCTTTATCTCCAAGAAAAAGGACATGATGCTCTAATGGCCAGTACCAAAGAGTTGGATGCGATAGAAATGCATCAAGAATGGATGTCTGGTCATTTGGAAGGACGCCGTCAGATGAGCAACCAAGCCAGAGTGACTCTGCTTTGGCCCTTGCTATCCCATTCAAGGTCGCAATTTCTATTCCTGCACAGCTAGCAAGCAACCGCTTATTGACGTATATCTAAATTAGCAAGCATTAATTATGATCTACTTACCAAAAATTAGCAGGATCGACAAATCACGAGAACTTACCGAAGTGTCGCCGTTTGTGGATTTCCACAAAAAGGCGAAATTGTTCCATGTTCCCTTCTCGATAACTATTGATGCCGAACAAGTCCACGTATGTAGTGATCCATAAATTCGCGCAATGAACATTCCGTACTCGATTGACATCAGAAAACCACACTCATTAGCAGGTGCTATATATTAAATAGTTGATTCTTTAGTCGTCACGGGCGGTAAGACTGCACTAGTGCACAGATCCAATTAACTTATCCCATCAGATTCAATAAGTATTTTCGAGCAACAGCTAGGCGAATCCTGTCCAATTGCGTTTAAAAAAGCTACTTGATGATTGCTTACCGCATAAACACAATTAAATGCAACTCTAATTTCTTCCTAATTTAAAATTTAAGAGTTGACAAATCTGATAGTCTTTAAAAATCATGATTAACAAAATTCTTCAAATTCAGTTTTGTCCCTGTATTATAGTCTACACCTCCAAATAATTGCTAAATTTAAAAACCAATTGGCTTCAAATGTCAAAACTTTGTAATAAACTTATTAACTTTTAAAGCAACAGGTTCCCAAGGGAGTAAGTCGGAGATTTATACTATTGTACTCATTGCTTCTTAAATCCACTGCCTATGAAGACTCCTCGTTTCTCTTAGATAAAAACAGTTATTATGATTTAAAAGAGTAAAAATAAGAAGTAATTTTAACACCTAAACTAGCTAAAAATATTACTTTTTTTGCTTTGTCGGTTTAAAGTCAATGGTCAAATTTTGGCAAAACACCACTTTAAGGTGTGTAGTATTTAGAAGCTTCACACCAGCCTTCGAGGGTACATAGTGTAGAATAATCGTAAGCCTTTTTGAAAAATTTTTAATTCTAAAGTAACTTACATGTGCTGATGAGCGTTTGCCGGCTGGCCACCATCACGTTTTGAAAATAAACCCAAATGCTGACGGAAAGCCCGTATTCGCAATTCTCGGGATCGGTAATGCAAGTCTTAAAATAGGGTCTTTCCACCTCCAATTTCGGAACTAATTTAAAGCACTTTGTACTTGACTGACGACTAAGCCATACGCTTTTGGTATCTTCTGGAAAAAGGCCTTTTCCCAATTGCCTCACACCAATAAATCCATCCATTGTATCCATCGGTGCAAAGAGACTGTTCGGTGTCTTCTCAAAATCATCTTTGATCTCCAAATCCACACCATCAAAATCCTTCAATTTATAGCGATCAAAAAGTGCTTTGGAGAGGAAATTCTCCTCTGGCGCCTGATCTAAAATCCACTTGGTGCCACTGGAGAATGTCCAATAATGGTTAGCCGTTGCTAGGTAAGTAACGTCTATGTCAGAGATTGAAATGCATAGATTATGCTGTTTTATTTAAATTGTGTTTAAAATCTCTAAGTTTTAAACTCACTGAAGAGGTTTTCTTTTGGTGATGGGTGAATTGGTCTTAAAGGCGGTGTTGTTGGGGCTGGAACAGGCTCTGGTGCTAACGTCGGGTATTGTCCAGAATCAATAGGCGGTGATGCTAGAAGACGTAAAAATGAAAACTAGAAAGTGATTTTGAAAAAGTGGAACTCGAATTAAAATGAGTAAAAATATGCAGACAATTTAATGAAAAAGGGAAGAGGCGACTTACTCGGCAGCAAATGGGCTAAAAAACATCAGAAAACTATCACCAAATGCTTATAAAAATACCTTATAATAAAATCTAATTTTGTCACAACTAGGAAGCAGGTTTAGATGTTAGGAAGTGAAAGGGAAAAGACGAAGAAAAAGACGGAAAATGCATTGAATATCCGTTGTGTTGATTGCCATGCAGCAGTTCGAGGTCCCGTTCACCAAAACTTGGGTTCTAGTGAGATGCCATTTCATTGAAAGAGTAAAACGAAGCAGAAATGTTCAACTTTATACACAGCATTTAGAAATCCATTGTTGTTTATGAACAATTGTTGCCTTGTGTTGTCATGGAGCTAATGACAAAGGAATATTAAATGTATGCGTCTTTTAGAAAATTTACTAGCACCTGACACTGGTAGTCAAGGTGACATTTGCATGCTTTGCTTAAATGTACATTTCGAGAGGTTGTAATTTACGGCCAATAAGAAACTAGTACAAAAAGTGAGTCGGTTTACAGACAGCAAGCATAATTTATGGCATATTTTTGGGAAAGATTATGTATTTGATTAGCTGATAAGAAAACAAACAATTTTTAGCATGCTAAACAAATACAAGTATATCAAACGTTTTTTTAAAGTTATGCATACATGGATGTGTCGTTCTCTGATTAGTTGCTCTACTTTGACATGTTTTCACAACCACTGATGAGAAAAGTATGTCTAAATTCTGTCGACTCAAAAGAAAATAACTGACACTTCATATGCATTTCGTTATTGCAAAATGAGCTTGCACTTAGGTGCTGGGCATAGTTTTTCACTAGATGCAAAAATGACGTTATAGATGCCTGCTAATGCTCCTTGCTTCCGTGACTCGGGATGAGGAAGCAACTTTTAAAGAAATGTTGTCTAATTTGCAGCAAACATATTTAGATTTTGGATTTATCAGTCCTGTTGTAAACTATTCAGTACCCCCTCTAAGCTTGGCCCCAAACAAGATGGTAATTCATGCATCATTTTTCCAACTTTTCTTTTTAAAATTAAAACCCTCAAAAGAAAAATCTTTCAGTTTGCAGATCGGCTTATGAAAAATATTAAGTAGTAGTACTTACTGGGTGGAAGTAAAACAGCGTCTTTAAAAGTTGAATTGGGAGACGGTAACGAATTTAGTAGCGCAAATAAGTTTTTCTATTTACAGTACATCAGTAGCATAACAATTATTGTTAATGACGATTAACTAAGCAGGTATATTGAAGACATGCACGATTATAGATTAAAACTGGCGAAGTTTATACATGAGTTTTTGTCCAAAACGACTCATATGAAATTCAGAGTTAAAGTATACGTGCAGCAACACCTATTCACAGGGTCATATGTGTCCAGTTTTAAAGTCCGATTACAACTTCAAATGGCTTTTGGATTAATGTAATAACCAAAGTTCTTATCAACGTGCTAAGAGAAAAATTCAGGCTGCAGTCACAATCTATGTGGTTATGAGAAATAACTGGAGTTCCAAGCACTTCAAATACAGGCTATCGTATACCTATTTCCTCCCTAACTTGCTCCGATTTTCGACATTGATCTGTTAGAGATTACTAAAATGGAAGGTTTTTAGTCAAAGGGATTGTAAAGCTATCAAATATCGGCTAAAAAAACTTTTGGGAAGTAGACCTTGAATGTGTTGTTTGTTTATTCTTGCGCAAAACCATTTTTCCATTCAAATGATAGTTATCGTTGGGCACGCAATGCAAAGGAACAGCCGATTTACGGTGTATCTTTGAGTAATTTAATAAATTGGATTTAGAAGTAAAAATTAAACTTTGCAAGCCTTTATATAACTGGCATTTTTTAACCATTTAAAATTAACCCTAAGCAAAACAATTAAGTCAAGTTTTCGTGAACACACACGTTTTATATTCTAAGAATCTAATAGTAGAATTATATTTATTGTCAAAAGCAGTTTTCACGCTTAGAATATTAACAAACGAACTGGGTACTTTTACATTCAGTGGTAAATAAGGGAAACCTCTTCGGTTTGTGCGTATGTATCTACTGGCGCTCTCACTACTTCATTACCACGGTAACCAGGATACACGGCTTTCCGATTGGTTCAGATTATACTCTTAAAATGAAATGGAAAGTTCTCATCGTTACACAATGCAATACGGAGGATCAACTTATCCTAAAGTTGTCTACTTCTACGCTGATGGGAGCAGTCACGGAGAGGGCGTGCGGGTGGTTATTCATCCAAACCGGTTTCGCAGCTTGGAAGCCTTGTTGGAATTTTTAACAGCAAAGTTCCCTGATCTGCCCTATGGTGTTCGAAGCATCTTTTCTCCACGTGGAAGAACTCGAATTCACGCAATTACTGAACTCAACGGCGATGGTCATTACATTGCCTCAGATAAAAGGCATCAAGCGAAAGGCATTCAACTAGTAGAACGATCTGTTCTCTTGCCTGGTTGGAAAACGGGCCGCGTTTCAAGTGGACAGAAGCTCTTGAGCTACAGCCTCAAACCTTCGGAGACCAAGGCTGTTTCGGCTGATCAGCAGACAAAAAAACAGACTACTAAAGTGATTTACGTACATCAGAATGGCAATGCATTCCATCGACATCGAATTCTTATTGAGGGACGGGCTGGAAACTCATTACAAAATCTCCTGCAAGAACTGAGCTTTACGCTCTGTGAGCCTGTTTACAAGATTTATACTCTAACTGGAAAAGAGGTAAAACATTGTTTGAAAGAACAAAAATTGTTTGATCAAGAATGTGTGAGGACAAAAATTTCCAGCAATTAGGCATGATCTTAGGGAACACTAATCAAAGGGTATCGATTTTGCTAATGTGCCCTATTGTACTATGGAATTATGTGAACCTCTGCATGATTCAAGCAGTTTTAAAACCAAGACTTATTGTTAGTTTTATTTACTTTAGCAGAAAATAATTCTTGAAGGCGAGCTGAATAAGTGGAGAAGTACATTTGGACAGTTCCATTGGTAATTGTAATATTGTAATATTGAATTGAATTGTAATATTGCTCCTTCATTAGTTGATTTTATTCTCAGGTCCTTCGTTGAGTTCAAAGAAATATGGACTTCCATGCCAGTTGCAATTTAATAAGGAACAGTTGTAAAATTTAGCCAGCTTTGAAGAAAGTTAAAACATGAAGCTATTTTATGTTTACGGAGTATTAATAATGCTATAACTACCATTATTATGAGAATACCAGCCTCTATTTTATGAATACGGGAGTTCTTGGTAGCAGATCTTGAAATGAGTTAAGATAATGTTATTAAAACCTACTCAGATTTGTTAATATAATATATTCAAGATCCAATTTATCGAAGAGGTCTTCGATGGTCCCGAGGAGTACGTAGCTGTCGGTCTAGAAAAGTTACGACCGCTATCAAAGGCTCATACAAACCTTTTATCAAAGCACCATCGTCCATCTGAGAGAGCTTGCATCCACCACGATCCAGGTTTGTTGCGGCATCGCTCAGCACACTCAGGACCTTTCAAATCAAGAGATAATCCTAGAAAGATTTCCAAAAACCCGAGTCGCCCTCGCAGTCAAGAGTCTAAAAAGGAGAATCAGTCAAGGACTAAAGGAAGGTCTAGCGGTCTGCGTTCTAGTCAATCGATGTTTCAGTTATCCAATAGAAAAATGAAGTATCATGTTCCTGGTATTTGATTCTACTGCATTCGCTGCAACTTTATTACTTTATCTACTGCTGCGTCTTACATTTTGCTCATATAATGCAACATCTGAGTCTAGTTTCGAAGCGAATCTATTTTATGATTGACATTTATTTTACTTTACAATTTCCTAATATTTGGTCTGACACAGATAATTGACCTAATCCCCGATTTATAATCACTCCTCAAGGGAAAAAAGATATTTTTTAGATTATATAAACCTGAAATTATTTTTAATTTTCTTTCAATAGTTGGAATCTAATGCTTCTTTTAAGACTTGTTTAAAATCAAATAACTTAAGTAAGAAAAAAAAACCTGTTTTTGTTTAATGATTGATTTTAAATTAAGTGATGCATAACATACTGAAACCAGTAGAGAATCATGAAAATACACTTTTAGGTCTCATAAATAGTAGATTTTGGCACTTTCTGGAACCTTAAGCTAATTGGTATTTTAAAAACTGCCAGAAGTATAACAGAATTCCAGCGTATTTTGTAAATCAAAAAGCCAAAATTGGTGCTAAAAATATCAACTTACTTGTTTTTCTTGCTTTTTAGTTAAAACACACTGTGCTGCGTACTAAATAATAATTCCTTAGGGCTTCAACATCCACTGGACTTGATTACAAGATGAAAAACAACATCTAAATCACCGAGTTTACTTTCAGTAGTATAACCGCTACCCTAGATACAATACATCCTTAAGCACTTTATTTGCTTTACACAAGTTAACACTAGTGGAGTTGGTGTTACCTCATAAATATTTTAGCAACTTCTAAATCTTGAAGAGCATTAGGGCAGGACTGTAGGCGTTGTTTGTAGGTGGTTAAAAACGGAATAATTTATTAGGATATTGTGAGTACCGGCCATCTTTTCAGTGGACAAAAGAATGGGTGTCAAAGTAAGCACTAGCAAAAATTGGATTGAATGCCTCTGTAAGCCGTAAAATGTATGCATTATTAAGTGCAAATTTATTGCTTACAGCATTATTTTGGGAATTATCAATGCGTTACGGCATGTAGAATGAAAAGTAAGTAAGCGTAAAAGATATCACTAATGCAGCTTTAATTTGCTCTAAAACAGGCTTTGTTAAATGATACTCTTATGTCATTGGAATGATCGCAATTGGTTTAATTTATAAGCATTTCTTGATATATATTTGCCAGAGTCTTGAACTCTTCCAACTCCTTTGAGTATATATAGACTCCGCGGAAATCCAAATTTTGGATCCTATTTAATGTAGCCTGAGAAACTGCTTAGACCATGACGTACTCAATTCTTGCTTATCAAATAACCGGCTATTGCTTTTGCATGGGATAGTTGCAGGTGTTAATGTCTAAATATTGAGCTATATAAGTGTTTTTACTGCCTTTGATAACTATAATATGGGAATAGAAGATACTCAAATGCAACAGCCGTCAGTCTCGCCTATATTTTTATATCCAATTTCCTTAACATTGTAAAAACAATTTTACGAAATGTGATCATAATTGGGTTCAATTTACACGTGATTTTACTTATTTATTAAGAGATAGAGATAGGTACACCTACGTTAAATGACATATGAATACGAATATTAAATTTGAATCCAACAATCCCAAATACGTATAATTTTAGTAGTTGCTAAGATATTTAGAATGATGTGAAAAGCCAATGCAAAACTTTCCGCTCTAGTTTATCAATAGTTCTTTTTTAAATGAAGGCTATTCAAGTCCGAATTATTACTAAAGAGTTAGCATGCACATGCATAGAAAGAAAGCTTATTAAAATAATCTCTGGTCAGATGAGTAGTGACAACCAATCACAAAGTTGTTAATTATTCCTTACAGTCCCTAAGTTTATGCAATAGCCTTTCTGTGATGGCCTGTCTCATGGTAAAATGTTAATAAGGAAAACAATCCACAGACGCTTCGAGTTCTTCTTGATTAAGTGAGGGTTTTTTTTAGGTAGTTACCACTGGCTAGTGAAAATTACAACAGGTCGAAGAGACACTAAAGTACGCACCGAATACACTTCAGCCTGCACCGCAAATGTCTTCCTGACTGTTCAAGGCACCAAGAGCACCAGTGCTGCCTTACTTCTCTCAACTTACCGAAGTCGGGTCAAAAATGGAGCCACTTTTTTCAGCAATAAAACCCCAAAGGGCAATTTTTTTAGTCAGGTGACCAGGCCGCTCTTCCTACCAGGTCAAACGGATGAATTTGAGGTGGAATACTTGATATTCGTATAAGATATTTTCACTTGTTCATTGTCTGCGCTAAGCCAATGATTAGCGAATAAAACGGTAGTTTTGGGGAGAATATTTCTTTTAACGCTTACTTAATTTTGGTGTCCATACATAAATTTGGTCTCTTTGTTGTTTGTAACTGACACTGTAGGAATTGTGCTGGCTATTCATAAACCTATTTTTAGGTAGTTCAGAATGCTTATTTTGATTGCAACATTTGTCTCTTATGTTGCTCCCACTCAACGTTTTACTTATAAAGGAAAATCCTAGGAAGCTATGGACACTTGAAAAATAAATTTAGCAATTCCCTTTACTAGTCAAATAATTGACCGACCTTTGTTACCCTCTGCCCTGCTGCGTCCGTTCCATGAGAGAGGTTTATGGTATTAAAATGTAACAGCCAGAAAAATGACAAAAATTTTGCTGAAGTAGTTAAGTTGTATGAATTCTATTCTAAAGAAACGCTAAATCTTAAGGTAATAAATTAATTACCTAAAATTTCATAGGGCGGGACCGCTAAGATTTATCATAAATGCAAGTGCTGCCATTTATATTTTAGCTCAACAACTAGTAGTAAAGCTGATTAAAAGTGAAAGAATTCCAAAACCAGGTTTAAAGTTCATTTGATTCAGACTATGGAGCATTTGAGTTGACTCCTATTAGACTAGTCCATTTATGTCCGAAAAATTTGTTCTGTGCCTGCTCTACTAAAAAAGCTAGTTGTGTAACAAAGTGATGTCGTCTAATACTATTACTTTGAATTAGGTAAATTGAAAAAAGCATTCAATTTGTGCTGTTTTTCAACTCTACCAAAATTATCCCCAGTTTACTTAGACAAAAGTGTGAGGAGAATGAACAAATCTTGCAACAAACCAAGTTTACGAATTCTGGCTAGAAGAACGCCTCGTCTAAATATATATTTTCCTCACTTCAAAAAGTGGTCAAATTATCTAAAAGATAATTACAAAAATTTACACACACAACTTAATACTTTAGTTACAATTTAGTTGCTATTTCCGCTCAAGTTACTTGAACTCATCAGTGCTTAACCCGTACTGGAAAATATTTTAGTGGCGTCTTTAATTTGTTAGATGCTTTAATGAGATAACTGCAGCTAAAATTTCTCGTGTTCCATGTAGTTTTTTGCCAAAAGCTTTAAATTAAAAGTTTAAATTTTAAATCCAGAAACATTATGGCCGAAGCAAAAGCTGAATGCTAAGATTTTGAGTGAAAGTAAAAAAAGGTGTTCCTTTCAGGCATGCATTTTTGGGTTGAAAAAAATGGTTAATGATTGCTGGCAAGCTACTCATAGCAACTGCACTATGGTACTTGAAACATGATAAGTAATAAAGGTACCGAATAAATATTCAGCTTTTAAGATATACAATAATAATGACATTTGTTTTTACATTTTGTAATAGCTGTAATCTTCTACAAAATTTGATTTACTTACACGTTTTGAACCTTTTACTCTTAAAAAGTATGCGAAAATCTATTTTTAATTTGCAAACATTTTGAGGATATTTATTTTTATTGTAGATTTATATTAATTTTAAAGAACAAGACTTACTTGAATCTATACAATACTGATAAAGGAGGATCTCTTAAACACCTAGGTAAATTTGGGTGACATAGGCGAAATAGTAAAAGTTCGCCTATCCCATGACAACACCGGTGAGTATCCGGAACTCCTGGTCTCTCATTTGAGAATGACTCGGCTTCCAAGGTTTCATGCATCCATGGAATCGGGTCAACTAAGGAACAGTATTGTTTCCTCCACCTCGAGTCACTCTCTTGCTGAGGCTAATTTAGCTGATCTCACCTTCTTTTTTAATGCCTGGCTCTCGCAAAATATCGGTGATGGTCAGGTCACACGGGAGGTGGCATCCAGAGCCTCCTTGGGGTTGATTCTGCAGGAACAACGACGTCTTCGCCTAGAGGCTCTGAAAAGATCACAAAGGATCACACCCGCCTTACTTGTTACTGAAGAGCCTAAAGTGGTGATGAAAGATTTGTCACAGCTTCCTAGTAAGCACTTTTATTTGCTAATAATAAATTGGTTCATTCCATAAAACTATGTAAAAATGGCAGCTATTTAAAAGCTGTTCCTCCAATTCGCACCTCAAGCACGCATTAGATTTAAACGCAATTTCCATGCAGTATACATTGAGTGATCTGCTTATGAGGTATCATTTTAGAAAGACTTATGTAACCTTAAAAGCATAAACTTGAATCTAGTGAACATCTTCTTTCGAATATTCTTTATTTGATAACACATGCGATCACTACCTATGAATCATCCTATAATGTAAATACTGAACCAGGCAATCACCAAGCAAATGGCTTGACAGGGTTGGGTGATTAGTGCATTGGAAAGATGTGAGTTCAGTGTCTACCTAAACAGTTAACAGGATTGATTCACACACAACGCACAATAAAAATGCACTTGCCTAAGTCAACTTTGGGTTAAAATTTGTCAGACTACATCTTATACTAGTAGCGTTTGGCTTTTTAAAGAAGGATTATGCAAAAGTATTCAATTTAATAAAGTTCCAACCGATTTTGAATAACGTGCTTTGGTGAACTCTAGGGGACGGATGTTTATCACTCTGAACTGAACATCACAAAAGCAGATCACTTACTTCTCAACTGCTAAAAAGGTTCCTTCAATAAGCTATCTCTTATGCGTATTTGAAAATTTGTAGGTGGGTATTATGTACATCTTAGGCTTTATGAAATGACTTAGTACCTTGCTTAGTGAATGCACAATATTTCTGTTCGAGTTCTAAGATCTCATTAGACTAAAGCGAGCAAATCGAATGAAATTACATGCAATTTCAATAGGGTGAAGTAAATGTCTTATTTAGCTTACTCTGAAAATTTAAGGTGAACTTAGAATTATCAAAGCATTTGAATGACTTTTTTGTTATTTTTAAGCTGTTCAATACCATGTAATGGTTAAAACCAGTGATTTGTGGAACTCTGGGACGGCCGCCACTGTCATGGTTTTGCTTCTTGGGCAGTTTGGTGATTCTGGCCCTCGTCATCTGTGGAACAGAGAATTGATGAAGAGGCGACCTTTTCAGCAGGGCCAAGTGAGCTATGTACACCAGTACTACTCATAGATAACTTAGTTCTTGTGAGCGGGTAGGCTGAATACAAAATGTACACTGCAATTCATGAGTGACATTGCAATAATTTTCTGCAAATCTCGAAATATGAATTATAAAATGAATGCAAATAACCCCTTGCAAATGCGCTGGGACCTTGACGAAAAGAGAAATCGCTGTATCATGTATTTACCAATCAAAGAAAGCGTTAATAAAACTGTCGTTTATTTTAGCGAGCTAGAATGACTAAGGAATGAAGTGATGATCTGATTGTAACAATAAGACAAGATTCTTGACTAAAATACGTTATAAGTATTTTAAACTACCATACAGTTTAAAAATGATTCCATTTAAGGTGGACGAGTTCAAGATTCAGTGTGTGACCTTGGGTCGTCTGAATTCACTTAAAGTGTGGCTGGAGTCCTCTCTGAGGAAGACATTAGAGACATGGTGCCTGGAGTGGATTCAAGTAATTGAAGAGGATGTTTCTTTAAGCAACATTTCTCCTCCAACCCCGGCGATTGTTCGTCAACCACCGACGCTATTCCACGGCGACCAGTGGCTTTATTCAGAGCCAGTAGCTAACATTCTTCAAATGCCCCCAATTCTTCAGCCAGTAGACCGCATTTTTGGACTTGATGAAGAATCGCACTACGGATTTCCGACCAGGATATCAAAGTTGGTGAGTTATGTGTTCCAATAATTTAGTTGATATTCAAAAATGACTTTATTAAAGTGTTTAGAAGTAAGTCGCTTCAAACGAATTAGCATACTGGGTAAATTAAGTGACACTGCCTTTAAGTAGTTGATAATTCTTACTAAATCTTATCATAATACCGAAATTACTATGAGCTTTTTTATGTATAAACTATGTTTTTAACCAACTAGACCTATTAGCTTCCACCATAACTTATCAAGTCCCCTCAAATGCCTGGTAATCCGAGGATTGAAGGATAGAGTTTTCGGGACGCAATTTTTTGACAGGTGATCTACTTAATTTGAAATGATCTGGTTAATACAACTGATAATTTTTTTCCTTTTTGAAGTGGAAGTCGATGGCATGGATATTCAAAAACGGCATGGAAATATCCTTTTATTCACTGGTGACTGGTTACCCACTCAGTATGATGTCTTGCGGTCAGGTTAAATCCATTAAAGCCATAAGTGATTCCTTCACTGGTAAGTTTATGCCCTACTTGATTTTGTTCCTATTAGAAAATTTAGGAAAATAGGATTGCGAAGTTAAAAGTAACCATAGTTAAGGATAAGAGCCAAATTAACAAAGTGGATTGGGGTAATAGATAAAGTGGTAATTGTTCCACCACTGTATTTGTTTTTCATTTTTCCAAGTGGTAGTTTATGGGGGAGCAAATAATACTTAAAAATGGTGTTAAATCTTCTATTATTAGTGCTTCTAGTTTCAACCTACAAATTCTTCCAAAGATCGAGTTTGTTGCATCCTCAAAACTGCTGATATTTCACAGCATTAAATTTGTCATTTCACAATTTGTATTGGGTTTTGAATGGCGAAGGAGTTCTAAATGATGAGACTACAAATCTTTTTTTAAACCACACTTAGAGATCCTATTTACCGTCCGTACAACGGACTACATCGTCACGGCAAGGCACCGGCGAGCATTTGTTAGGTCTACATTGAAAAAGAGCCAGAGGACACCGAATGATGCACAAGACAAGACCAAAATCGTGCTTCCTGTTTTCCAATTTGCTCTCACCTCGAAGCCATGGCTCCATTTGACGTTGGCAGAGGATGGAAGTCTATGTGTAAGAGGTAGATAAGATTATTAGTTTGCTATCAAAGTCATTTATGCTACCATCATCAGTGTAGACGCATTTAAAAAAAGGAACTGAAATATTTTGTGGTCTAACAGAGCCAATTACGAGAAGAAAGTGTGATGGAAATCTCACCGCTGAATTTTCACAAGTTCTTGATTTAATCTTTTCGTATGGTTGATGCATGGGAACCTGAAAGTATCATCTAGTTCACGAAAGTACTTTAAAGAGCACTCTGACTTTTCACGTCAATAGGTATCCGTGTGTATTAGCTTTATCAGGCATACAATAAACTAGTTTCAGTTTGTGCATTTTAAATTCTGCTTCAGTTTATTGCGCTACTTGTGCCCTGTCTAGGCTTTCCATTGAAATTTTAATGCATAAGATTTGACTAAGTGATATCCGTGATGATAATAATAAATCTTAAAATATTCTTTTACTTGATTCGAAAGGCACTTCTGAATCAGATGAATCTAAGGGCTTTCTCGTTCGACCGCAGTTGGATGGTTTTGTACAGTTGGAATCGGTTCATCTGAGGGATTACATTGAGCGAGCGTCAAAAATTCGTGTCGACCCATCTGATGGAAGAGTTTCTGTAAGAGAAACTGTCGACCACAAGGAGACCTTATTGATGCCATTTGTCAAGGTATTTGACGTAAAGGAGCATTTGATTTCTTTTATGGTTAATTCTTCGCAATTTTCCCTATCTCTTATGAGGCTCGATTTAGAGCCCCAGTTTTACAGATAATGAGAATTTGGCAAACGTGCATAAATAGGTTAATTTAACAAAGTAATGAAATTTGCTATTTATGATTACTGAGGCGGTAACCAGGATACTGGATTACGGAAGCTACCTTGAGACACTGATGAAGAAAATACCCTAACCACGCAAAAAATTGTTGATTCAAAACGAAGAGATGTTCCTCTTGTTTGACCATCAGCGTGAAGTTGCCTAAAAGTTTTCTTAGAGGGTAAATGTTGCAAAATACATCAAACTCAAAATACCAAAAATACAATTTTGGAAAAAATTGTCAAATAAAACAACAAGGATGAGAATGAACTCGAGCTACGTGGAGGAAACCCAGCGTCTACGAAATTCCTACCGATGATAAAATAATTGAACTAAACCACTCCAAACCAATAAGAGCCTTTATTTAAAAATACATAATGTAGCGGTGGAATCACGAGTAAGATATACAAAAAAGAGATTAAGGGTTATAAAAAAGATATTGTTTCACTACTTTGTGAACAATGGATGTCCTATTTCTACAGCTTGGCTATGTGTCAAAATACAAAGATTTAAGATAGTCTTGTTGTGACTAGCTTTACCAGTATTGCAACTCGTTTACATGTTCCTTGTTATGAACCAATGAGAAGGATTGTTTGAGACTTTTGCTCATATTAATGTTCGAGTTTCGTTCAAGGTTACATTGTCCACTTAACTTTGAAATGACAAAATAACAGAAAGGTTGGTGGTTTCCATAATGCACAAATTATTTGTTAAAAACGGAAGTGATTGAATTTTATTCCTCATTTAACTTGTTACTGAAGAATTACTTACGTAAATGGAATTAAGGTACTTCGGTACTTCTACTGTATAGCTGCGTTATCGAGCTAAATCCCATTTCAAAATACACCCTTGGTTCTATTTCACGATGCAGCCGAGGCAAATAATAGACTCAAGATCTAAATTCATGCTCTTTTCAACAGCCCTATTTTTCAAATGAAGAAGAACTGATTTAGCTCATTTAGTTATTGCTAAGATTTAGCGGAAAACACTTATTTTGCTATAATTTTTGTCCACCTATCAATGAATATGATTCACACTTGTGTTTTACAATGAATCTCAAAAATGTTGTATTTCAGTAGGTCTGATAACATATATTTGGTTCTCGAAATCGGCACTATAAAGTTAAATTTCCTTTCGTATAGAAGCGATTTTCAGTAATTAGCTATTTTAACAAAGGATCTCCATTTTTAATAGGGTTCAATGCGGGATCAAGGCATAATCATGTTGTGCACCAACTCGGAACAGACGTTAATTCCACGCGCAGATGAGCAATCAGCTGATAATTTGATTGCCATGGCGACTGGAAACCATACCAACGAGAGCCACTGGCGTGTTCATCGAGTTAATAAGCAAATTAGGGCCTTTGAATCAGTTGTCCATTGTGGACATTTTCTGCAAATCAAAGAAGGAGGAACAGTGGATGTCATGGTAAGATAGGCCAAAATGTTGGCAAGTATTTTGGTAGTCGTGGGCACGTAAGTTGTTGTTTTTTTCTTTGTATCAATTGGCCATTGTTTGGAATTAAGTGAGTTCTTACCAATGGAAGCATTTTTTACCAAGTGCTCTAAACTACTTTGTTTTCCTTAGAATCTTTACTTATTTGCATTATAAAATGTATAGCTGCATGAATTGAGCCTAAATAATGTATGGGTAGGTGTGAAATCTACTCATTTCAGAGAAACATAAGTAATTAAGTACAAATAAAGTTTTTGTGTATTAAAAAATTAATAACCTCTTAAAATACATATTTTATTTATGTGGATGCTCTTTTTCTTCATATCCTTATTGCTTTAATTAGTAGTGCCATACTAATTCCAAATATTCATTTTTAATTAATTGAAATTAAGATATGTTGTTATTTCTATTTGGATGTTCAAAAAATTGTTCACCTGTTTTTACTTCTTAGGGAAGAGGAGATAGTAAATGTCACTTTACTGTTCTAAGGGAAAGGGGACAAGGATTTATTCGGCTCGAATCGCACAGATTTACAGGTGTCCTCTTGTATATTAATGCCAATGGTTCTGTCACATCTTCAAACAATGTGGACAACAAGAGCAACAGGTTCTACCCCTTGATAGTCAAGTGTAAGGATTCTGTTATAGCTTTAGACCATGTTATGATTTTTACAATAACTTATTGGGCTTTTGCCTAACAGTTATGGTATGAATAGTGCCAAAATAATGACTATTTAATTGAAGTCGAAATTGCAAAATGCGACCAATTATTTCCAGTTAAGAAGCATCCACCATTCGCCTTTATTTAAAATTGCATTTGTTTTTAGTCCACCCGAGCAAGTATGCCCCGCATATCCATACAGAAACAGCAATCATTAGAAGTTGAATGAGCACAAATTCTTTAAATTATTCTGTGTGACTAGTTTAAACAAAAAACAAAAACAAAGCAAAATATTTCCCACTTTAATTGACACTGCGACTGTATTACAAACTTTTGGAAATCTAAAAAGCTAAAATATTTTGGGAAGGAATCTACTTTTAGGATCCAGTATATCGAAACTATTTACTTAAACAACCTCGTTTCCAAACCTTTAAAAAATAGTTGAAATATTTCATTTGCTAAGCAGACCTTAATGGTCTCATACCTTCAGTCGTAAATACTGGAATGCTAAACCTCACGTTAGTTATGAGTTTAGGCATATCACGGGAATTTACACAGTTAGCTTAACCAGAAGAGTCCACTGCGGGAAAGGTTTGCTTTTAGGTAGTTGGAGCCAGCTGTGTGACTCAAATTAGGCAACTTGCAGTTTGAACGAAGATCACCAGTTATTTGTGATTCACTTAGACCGAAACTAATTGTTATTTAAGAAGCAGGCCCTATAAATTTTATGGGTTCTAAAGAGCCAGGTTTTCGATTCAAGTAAATCCTAAAGAAAAAAATCGCTACTTTAGGAACCATTTTCTCCTTTTAGGACACAACATATTTTATTCTTCTTGGCTTCCTTGCATCTTTAGAATACCACAAGATGTATTTTACTGTCCACGGCGCAAATTTAAAGTGGTAAATATCCCCAAAGTATAAATTTCATAAAATTTGGACGGATGTAAGCGTACTATTTACTGACTTAAAAATATTCTGATTCCAGATATAAACGGTTTACTATGGCCTGTTTTTCTTTTGTTAATTTAACGGATCATTTACTTTAAGAAACGATTTTGCACTGTTTGCGACGACAAGAAGCACTCAAATTATAATTTTCATGAAGGTAATGTGAAAACGGGTGGCAAGAAGTAAAGACATCCCCATATTTTATTGGAACCCAATCCCAAATGAAAATATTGATACATGCAATGATGGTTGTAAACATGACTTGCATAAAACTGATACGTGAAACTAACAAAGAGTCACTTTTTTCCTTTTTGATGAAGTTGGGAAAAGACGGAATGCCCCAAATATGTCGCCTTCTCAGTCAATCACTTTGAGCGAGTCGACGTTATCCAAAACTCTTACCAGAGTATCCGGTTCAACATTAAAATCATCAGACCAAGATGATTCAAAATACGAGGAACAACCCTTCAATCCAAATGCAAACACAGCCGATGAAAAAAGCCTTTTGAACCGAAGTGAAACGATCAACAAAAAGTTTAACAAGTGTAAGTCAGAAAGGTCAGAAAGTGATGAAGGTTTAACAATGGAGCTTAAGCATAACGGCTAAATAATAATAATGTCAATAAATTAAAGGGCTTAAGGGCTAAACAAACAACTAAAATAACGTGGAGGAAACTACGTTAACAAAGTTTTTTGAGGTTATTTTCATATTGCATTTTTTAATTAACAGAGATGTAGATGCAGACCAAGACATATTTTAGTAAGGACTCAGGGAGATGCATATCCACGCCATTTAAATAGTTAACTGGCTAGTTTTAATCCTAAACGGCCACAGGCGACCGAGAAACCAGGTAATGTCGAAATAGGAAATGCTACCCGCGAGATGTTTTCTAATCTGGTTGTAAGACAAGTTTAATAGTCTAGTTCCTGTGCTCAATTCCTCAATAAAATGATGCTTGCGCGAATGCAGAATTTTAGTGCACCAGCCAGTTTTAGTGAAAATGTTTAGTAGCAACGTCTGACAAAATATACACCGAGGACAGTTGTAGCACCCCGAGACTCCCCTGAAGCCGAAAGGAGACACCGTCCTGGGGCAGAATTTGTATGGCCTACGCACAGAAGGGGTGGAAGCCATGCCGCCTAGTGGAAGTACATAAGCGGAACCCTAACTGCCTCATGACACATTGGCCTCTAATTTTTGATCTTGTATTACATTTCGTAAGCTCAAACCACAGTAGCCCAAAAGGTAATTAACTCTTCAATCAATTAAAAAATCATAATTTACACTGGATATTTCTATTGCTTCAGTATTAAAGGAATTTGTAAACGATGTGTGGGATATTTTTAACAAAGATCAATTAATTGAGATTCAGATTTTAGCAAAGAAGTGCAAGGTTTATAATTGTTTGCAGAGGGACTTGTACTTAAAATCAAAGTATCACTGCCTACCATTTGGTTAATCAACTGTATCTCTGGTATTCCATATTCCGGTCAAAAAGGTGTCGCAAATTAAATTAATTATTGATAATTTCACTAAAATTCAACTATTTATGCAGATATCATTTATAAACTGCTATGAAAGCGAACTCTTTTTCTAAAAATAGGTAGTAATAATCTTCCTTCAGTGATACGGTAACTAACAGACTGAATACACATCAGTATTGCCGTTGCAGGCAGCATTTTGCACCATGAGTGAGGTTAATAGTGTGCTAGGCACAACTATAATTTGGCGATTAAGTGCCATGTGCAAAGTAATTGCCAATACTTAAAAAGTGTTTGGGTTTAAAGCAAGCTAAACATTTCACAATAGAGACAGAAAAGTTAGTGTGATTTTTTATTGCTCAAAGTCGACTTAACGATTAAAAGCTACACCTGCATTTTACCATTTAACCGGAAAGGCGACAATTAAATTACCACTGAAATTAATTTCATCCCTCTAAACGTCAGAGTTTTAACGGTCAATGAGAGCTGTTCTTTGTTTTTAGTCATCAGATTTCGGTTTATATAGCAAAACTTTGTCAGCAAATTACTTTGGTTTTTGGATCATAGGTAATTTAAAGAACGCCCGTGATTAAATCCGCTTCCTCAGTTTAATGGCATCTGATCTGATTCCAGGTTTTTTCGCTGTTGGGTAAATTTTAAAAATTTTAACCCTTGGGATTCTCTTTATGCCCAGCCAGTAACAAATTTTCCAAATAATAAAATTTGGGTTCTAAAACCTTCCTAAGTCAGGTGGTTTTTCTGCTATCTAACGTGTGAATTGACATCAAAACATTCTTTCGCTTGATTGTAAGCATGTTAGCAAGTTAAATTGATGAACTGTTCCGTAACACTAATTAGGACTAAATTTGGACAAAATATTTTGATAATCAAAAAAAGATTGCTTCTGGGGTTCAAAAAATACGTTTAAAGCCAGAATTATTTTAGAGTGTTTTAGCATGCATCCTTAAACTTACTACAAAATATCCCTTTGAAGCGGTCACCGAATACTATTCTGCCGATTGTTTACTGTAACAGAACTTGAAGAATAAAAATTCAAAGTAAAGGCGAAATAGTAGTGAGTCAACATTTTACCTCACAGGTCGGAGATATTTCTATCTGGCTATCAGCCCTTGGGTTTTCTAAAAAAAACTCTTGATGAGAAAGTAACACTACAAATTATTAGAATATAAAGTGTCACGCAATACCAAACATAAGTTAAATAAAAGCATTTTTCCTTGATGGAAAATAATGAAACAAAAAACGATAAGCACAATAAGGAGTAATATCATAGAGTCGAAAAGTTGGCAATTTTTTAAGCATATAATTTCTGATTTTGACCATGATCTCACATAGACGCTGATTGGAAGGTTCAGCTGCACACCTCAGAATCGGCATTCAACGCCCTTATTGTTCTTGTGGTTTATGGTACTACTGGTAACTCCGGACCGATAATTATTGGAACCTCCGATTGTGAAAAGTGTTTATTTCGAGCTGGAAATATTGACGATTTTAAAGTTAGTCCATAATTCCACTTCCCGAATCTGCAATCCGCTATCTATATATTAACGTATTGTTCACTTTAAATTAGGTCAACCTCGCTGGCATCGGCCCGATTTTTAAAATTCGTTTAGAAGTCAATCCATTGAACGAGTCAGAATTACCTTATTGGGGATTAATTAAGGTAATGGGTTTTTACTTATGACTAATGAGTAACATTGTCTTATTTAAGGTTGTTTTTGAAAATATGGTTACACAGGAGCAAATTGCATTTGATTTCACAAATCGACCGTTCATAGGAATGTCTAACCACTGTCAGCTAAGCAGGGAGCAAATAAGGTCAGGAAATCCACTTGGAGATCCCTTACCAACAGAGATCCTAAGCTCGGACGGCCTTGATCCAAGCGCTGGATTAGTCCTTTACCGTGTGAAATTCTATGCTCGAGCTGTATTGGAGGCTGAACAGCAAATTCATCTTGGGCCAAAGGTCACTCTGTTCGGTCGTTATGGTGACACTGGCCGGAGATTGATTGTTCTCACAGATCCATTTGCAAAAAAGCTGGATGACAACCTAGAGGTGTGTAAGCTTTTTGAAATAGAATCTCACTCTAATAGGTTACTTTATTAATGCTTTGAAACTGAATCGAGTACATTACCTAAGAATTTGCGTGCATTTAGAATTTCAAAAGAATTGTGATTTTTAAACTATTCTACTTCCTTGAACGCTTTGAAAGTGTGTGTTCTTCAAATTCACGAAAATCTGTCCTCTTGGATAATCAAAAGCAGTGGTCAAGTACAACTAAAGAGTGGTCTAATATTTGGATTTCTTACGTATTTAGCACCTCTTTATTTGCAAGGCTTCGACTTACTTAAGGTCCATTACAGCAAAATTAATTTAAAAAACTCTGATTTAATGGCCTTTCTGTGGTTAGTTTTAGAGTTTCCGCCATATTTGCCTAAAATCTATCAGCTTTTAACACTTTGTCATAAATTTGCATTTGCATCCAAAAATGAGCTATCTGGTGATTTGACTTTGCTTTTCACAGGGAAAATTAGCATGGGTGGAGACACATTTGAAATCAATGCTGTGGAAGTAAAAAATATGTTATCAAAACAGGACAGCCACTTGTGTATTAACTGCTAACCATTCATCTAGGTGTTCGAATGTCTTCTTGAAGCAGTTTATCTGGGATCTCTTACCCACTGCCTTATCGGACCCATCTCAGAATCTCCGTTAGAGGGTCGATTTTGTGTTGGAATAGGAGTTGCTGACCCAATGACAGGCCAAATCTACCGATTCCCAGCAAATGTGTAGGTCTATGTCAAAGACGCGGCTTATATGATGTATTTTAAATAAATAATGTTGTTAATTTTATCAACTTTGGTTAACTGTCACTTATCTACCTTCGTAGCATAAGTGTCGTAAGATGTTCGATTAATTACTATTTGCGCTGTATTTGCTTTCCTTAACCATAAAATTCGGACTACTACATGAGGCAATTATTACAAGGGACCTTTTATCAAAATAACCGAAACGTTGGCAGTCTATAATTAAAAAATAAAGGCACTAACCTGGCATTCTTATTACCGGAGCCTCGAATTCAAATGGATCGTGAAATCTGTATCTTATTGTCCGAATATGTCGTTATTTGCCTATTTTTCCTACCAATCCAACGGCTGTTCTAGAACTGAATGATGCTTTATTTCCTCGGACATAACCAATGTATTCGCGAAAGGATTTGGTCCAATCGGTTTTGGTAAAGTAGTAAAGAGCTCATGTCTGGTGTATGACATCGACATGCTCCCGACGTATTCAAATGATGTTTTTTTAAAGGACAAGTGGTTCGGTAATAGACTCCTATCCGTTAATTTTTAAAGAACACTTTAAAGCTTGTTAGTAATCAGTCATCCAAAAGTGGAGAGGGTGGCTGTATCTATCCCAACATCGCATCATTTAAGCGATGGTTGTGTTTCTCATGCATTTATGCCTAATATAAAATGTTATTTTAATTTACTTAAATATTTTGCTTTGGGCATCATCTTCATTGCAGGTGATAACAGGCGCTGTGGTTCTAGTTTCGTCTATTTCATCTGCTAAAGAGCATAAAATAACATTAGAAACACCAAGATTATTTACTTTCCTGAGGTATCAACTGCCCTTACGAAGGCGACCTTCTTCTTGAAAGCTTCTTCATTAAGGCCATGATCTTCTCTGATGAAATTTGGAGGAGGAGTAATGTTAAGCGGTGAACTTGAAAGCAAGGCCATGAAATAGCCTATCCTTTTCAGATTGATTGGGTCCGATGATGGGGGACAAATAAGGGAGGCCACAATTAAACCCGACTCCAATTTGGCTCTCTTTGATGGGCTCAACGTTGTGGGCGATACGGACGACGATGAATACAGCCAATTACATGAGTCCGGTGAGTCAATAAATGGTTTTATACGTGGAGTGGTCGACTAAACAGTCACACTAGCAATACCAGCAATAGCCAGTGGGTTATCTCAGAAAGTCAGCGCTTATGCAGTCATGAGGAGATTAAAGAGCAGGCACCAAGAATGGATCATATTTCGCACCATTTTCCTGAACTAAAGCATACAAATTCCGCCACATTTAATCCTCTGTGAGCATCTACGCGAGCTGAAAGTTATTAAAAAAATATACTAGTTGCATTTGGATATGTGGACTGATTCGACCTTCACTTTTCAGTAACACAGATGGTTCAGCAATTGACCGAATCCGTATCCGAAAACGTTTAAAAATACAGTTTCTGGCGTGAGTTCTCCGCTGTCTGTCTGTTAACATGTGTGAGTTCTACTTATCCTCATACTCTTGTGTAAAATCGACGCTCAGATGACGTCCCAGAGAAAAAGCAAAAGCTGACCAGATCACCGGCCGACCAACAACCATCCCTCACCCTTTTGGACGCAACACCCATCTACATTCTTGTCAACTAAAAAGACAATTGTATCTCTGTAAAGTAACGAAGAAACCCCCGGGTTGTCACTGACATGAGCCGTCCCAGCGCATCAGTAAATACAGAACGCAACGCCTAAGGAGGTGCGCTCATTCACGACACAAGGCTGGCCAAGGGCCCACTAATCAATAAAAAAAACCCAATATAAAAACCCTTGGGGGGCGCGTTGCTGTGGGTGGTCACTAAAAAGACGAGCAAAACGACCCAACACGGGGGAAGAGGGAAATGCTCCCGCCCTGCCAGCCGAATATTGAATCAACCCACGGTAGTAAAGACAAGAGCCCTGCCGCTTAAGAAAACACAGATAACGGCTCACAATTGATCATTTATTGACACGCACACAAAAATATTTAAAAATCAGAGCGCAGATTTACTTTCGCA